AAAGCTAGGTAAGTCCCAGTAAGAGTGTTGACTCCCCCGGACAGTTCCCTTCCCCCAGTACCTTAGGGAAGCATAATGAGAACTGTGTGCCTGCATGAAAAGTTTGGTATGTTTTTCCTCAAGCTGATATATATTCATAGGTTCTTTTTTGAGCAAACAAAATCTCACTTTAAGATTTCACCTTTTCTTTTTTCTTAGTATTTGATCTACAAGTATTTCCTCCCAATTCTGAGCTGTCTGGCCTTCTAAAGAATGGCTGTTATTTAGAACAACCTAAGTATATCTTCTCAACAATGAAAAAAAAATGTCCAAACATCTAGGCAGCAGGAGACCTCAGATCACTATTGAAGTTGTATATTTTTTAAAGCTGCTTTAGCTGTTTTTCCTCCCACCAAATTGGAAACATGTGGAAGTGTTTCTTGTTTCTTCCTCCTTGGCAGGTGTAATGCCTCAGGCATGTGAGTGAAGGCCCTGTTCAAACATTGAGCTTCCACCAGCACCTCTGGGCTTATCCACTAATGCTAGTCTCATTAACTTTTAGCTTGCCGTTTTCACTTACAAAAAGTCAAATAGCTGATTCAGTCCCATTAGCACTACGTTAGGGGTTATATTTGGGTTGCTAGCCTCAGAGTATTAGGTCTTAAAATCCTTAGAACCTGCTCACATGTAAAATGTTCTTTTTGTTCATATTTTTTAGATTTTAAGATTATGAACTTAAGCAGTTATTCAGAAAATTTAAAAACAGGCAATCTATTTTGCCTTTTAACTTTTCTTTCGCCTTGGCCAGTGTGGCTCAGTTGATTGGATGTCATTCTGTGCACCAAAAAGTTGTTGGTTCAGTTCTAGGTCAAGGCACATGAGTGGGTTGCTGCTGGATCCTCAGTGGGAAGACTACAGGAGGCAGCCAATTGATTTTTCTAACATCGGATGGTTCTCTCTCCCCCTCTATCTTCTTCTCTCTAAAAATCAATAAAAAAAAATTTTTTTTTACATTTTTTAACCTTAAAATATTGACATAAGTTTTTCTTTTTCTTTTTTTTAAGAAAATATGATTTTGCTTAATGTTTTGAAAATTATTATGGGTTTCGAATCCAGCCAAATTTAATGCATATTATTCATATTAATAAATTGCTTGGGTTTGAATAAAAGTAGTAGATCAAATTTTTAAAGAAGAGTATTTAGGATAATGTAATTTTCTTTCAGCTGCTCTCAACATTTTTTTCCTGTTTAAGAAAATTCCTGAGATTCTTTCCTGGAATATAGATATTTCCATATGGAATCAACTGAAATGGGAAAATTATGTAATAAAGTCATAAATACGACATAAAGTTATAAATATGACAAAGTCATAAATTTAGTATCAAAAAGATATTTTCTGTCCTTACTTGATTTTAATTTCTCTTAAGCTTATCTATCCTTTGAATAACTAAAGAAAGTGGATTTTATATGTTGACATTTTCTGACTCCTTATTTTTGCTTGAATTATATGTTTGATTTTGGTTGACCATTTTGTCTTAAAAACTCCTCTCAATTACTTTTGCATTACTATGCTATTTCTTGGTTTATCCTTTTACCTTTTTTTTTTCTTCTTTTTAAAAAAAAATATATTTTATTGATTTTTTTACAGAGAGGAAGAGAGAGGGATAGAGAGTTAGAAACATCAATGAGAGAGAATCATCGATCACCTGCCTCTTGCACATCCCCTGGGGATGTGCCCGTAACCAAGGTACATGCGCTTGACCAAGGTACATGCCCTGGACCGAAATCGAACCTGCGACCTTTCAGTCCGCAGGCCGACGACACTGTATCCACTGAGCTAAACCGGTTTCAGCTCCTTTTACCTTTCTTTTGAGCTCATTAGAGAGCTCTAAATAACTCCTAGATAGTTCTATTTTCCTCATGCATTAACACATTCTCCAATGTATGTGCAGAGTATTCCCTTTCTATCATTGCAGTATCTTTATTTAACTTCTTTGTCCTTTTAGTTATATGCTTTTCAAAGCTGGAATAAATCTTGGGTCTCTTTCACTTCCTTGCCATTTGTTTTCTTTTAAAGTGAATGCGTACAAAAAAAAAAAATCAATTCTAGGAAAGCAATTTTAACAGTATTTCAAGCCAGCCTGAACGAAACACAAATGATCTGGAACAAAACAAAAAATCAAGTAAAGATAAGACATTTGAATAACGTAAAAGTTTTGAAGGAAATTCTGTCAGGAAGGGAAAAAAGCTAATGGGGTTCAGAGCAGTTCTTACGATAGTAGGATTCTCTTGTTTGGCAAAGATTAGTTACTCCTTACCTATCTGCCCTCAAAAAGAGTTATAGCGATTCCTTTCACCCAAACACCATGAAAATTAAATGTGGGGAGGATGACTCACTTCCTTGACTACAGTTTTGCTTCCTTAAGTGGCCCTGTCTTCCTGCTATAGCTTGGGAATGAGAAACTCGGGTAAAGGTGTAAGCTACACCTGTAGACTGAAATGAAGCTACCTACTGGCCTATGCAAATATGAACAGTATTTCTAAACTGCTTTATTATTACACTATGATCAGCCAAAAAAAAAATTCTCCCAACATAGATCTTTTTTATCTTCTTGCTTACTTGAGTGTGTCCTATTATATTAGATATTTATGGTACTACCACAGATGCATCTGACGGAGCTAATTTTGTACATTCAACACATAGCTAGTACCTTCTTTCACATGGGCCATTTCCATTATTTTTCTTAACCTCCTATTAAACATTTTGCTTCTCCTCTTACTCCCTTCCAAAATATTCTCCATATAACTGCTAACATGATTTTTTAAAAACAAATTGGTATGTTATTTCTCTACCTAATCTTCTTCAGTGGTTTTTCACTACACTAATGATAAAACATTTGAACATGGCTTACAAGGCCCTTGTAATGTAGCCTGCCTCTCTACTTTCATCTTGTACCCTCTCTCCTCTTGGGGCAGTTAAGTCAGTTTTAATGGCCTTCTTAAAATTTCTATCTTTGTTTTTTAACCTCGGAGTCCTCACATATGCCACTTCTTTCCCCCATTTTCTACTAGACTAACTCCCCTTCCTTTGATTTTCGTATTATAATTTACTTTCTGAGGCCTTTCCTGAGCTTTGTATCTTAAAGATATACACACCCACATCCACTCCTTACACTGCCCCACACACCCTCATACCATTATTTTTCTTCATACATTTACATTGTATTAGTATATTGCTTGAGTTTTTGTTTGTTTAATATCATTCCTACACAACTGTAGAGTTCTATGAGGTCAAGGATCACAATCTGTTTCACTATTGTATACCAAACTTCTAGAACAATTCCTATAGAGTTATGGGCACTGTTGAATGAACAATTAATACTTGGGATTGGGGATATAAATAATATTAGTCTAGCTTATCATTTCCTACCAATTAAAAATTTTTTTTACACTTAGCTTTATTTAATAAAACTTTGTTTGTACAACAGTGTTTTAAATGTCTTTAATTAATTGAATGAGAATTTTGAGTAGCTTCTAAAATTAGCCATATTTTTTGCCCTGGTCAGGTGGCTCAGTTGGTTGGAGCATCGTCCCATACACCAAAATGTTGTGGGTTTGATTCCCTGTCAGGGTGTATAACTAGGTTGTGGGTCCAATTCCCAATCAGGGCACATACAGGAGATAACTAGTCAATATTTCTCTCTTACATTGATGTCTTTCTCTTTCTGTCTCTCTCTTTGTCTCTAAAAATCAATAAATATATCCTTGGGTGAGGATAAAAAAATAAAATGAGCTATATTTTTTAATGGAGTTAAGACCTTATTTGATGCACATATTCCTCTTTCTAAGCCATCTAAATTAAATTCTGTTCTTTGACATGTGAAAAATTTTTTTTTAAATTTATATTACAAAAGTAATTTGCTTTTTTACAGAAAATGCAAATAATATAAAAGTATAGCTCTTTTCCTCTTGTTTTCCTAATCTTATTTCCCAAAGATAACTGTTCTTATCAATTTGGTGTACAATGCATCAGATAAAAAGTAGGAAGATGTTGGTAGACAAGTAGGTTACTAACTTGATACACTTAAGTAGTTACCATCTCTCTGCTTAGATTTTCTCATTTTTTGTATTTCTGTAGAATAGGTTTCTAAAATATAGGCGATTGAAGAGTGTACATATTTTGAATTTTGGTACTTTTAAATTCCCTCCCCAAGGATTGTAGAAATTAATTTTAAATAACAGATGTTATTAGCAAAGCAATGTGATGTTTATTATAGACAGTTTTACAAATACAGAAAAGCTCACACACAAAAAAATCACTTATTCCATCCTATGGTGGTATCCTTCTAGTCTTTTTTTCTGTGCACATAAAAATATTATTTTTCCAAGATTGGAATTATACTATACAAGCTGCTTTGCAATTTGCTGTTTTTAAGTAGCATTATGTTTTTATTTTCCCATATCATATTAAAACTTATATTATTTTACTATCTAGTTATGCCACAATTAATTTAACAAACTCTACATTTTGAACATCTAGACTGTTTCTAATGCTCACTTTTACAAATAGCACTAGTGTGTATATCTTTATATATATGTTTTTTCAATATACATTTTTATAAGTGGATTTGTTGGGTCAGAGTTTGAAAATTTAATGCTTTTCATACATTTTGCCAAATTGTTCTTCAGAAAAAAATCCAAGTTACATCTTAGCAATTTCACAGTGCTCATTTTCCTGGTCTCTGATAGGTTAAAAAACAAAAATAAAACCAAAACAAACTAAGAAATCCAGTTTTTAAGTAATAAAAAAATGAGAGGTATAGCTATGGTGTAGAATAGAAAATGACTGTTATGACATAGCATTAAGTACTGCATAAGTTGTATTCTTACTCTTTACATTATCCAGTTAATAAGTGTCCTTTATTCTCTTTGTTATATTTAATTTTCTTTGATTCTTCCTATTTATGTCACTATTCTTTGGTTTATCATTTTATTCTTTTTCCCTATATTTTTTCATGTAGAGACCAAATGAGAGGGTTGACCTTGTTTCTGAAAAACCAAGAGAAGAACCGGTACTAAAAGAGGAAACCTTGGTGAGTAACTTTATTGAATACTGTCTAGTCAAATATGGCATAAGGTGAAAATAAAATTATTAGATTACAACACATTTAACACATTACAGTCCATTCTTCTTTATTTTAGAAGTTAAACTGAAGTAAATCTTAGAACTAGTTTAAAAGAAAGATATTTTCAGTTAATTATTTTCCTTTTCAAAATTTTAACCACTTTTTAATAGATTATGTGAATTCTCAAGATACCTTATAATGTGGTAATAGAAATCACCAATCCTATTTTTAATATTTGGAGTTAGGCTTATTATTTTTCTTTTTTTTCCCTTTTGCTAGTTATAAATAATAGGTATCAGATAAAAGTATAATTGAAGATAAAGTTACATGGAGAGCATGTTAAATGCACTTTGTATGTAGTTTCTTCTTTAAAATTTCTCTGCTGATAAAGTTTTATCATCTTTTCCTATAGGTTCAGCCAATATTATCTTCTGTTCCAACAACAGAAGTGTCCACTGGCGTTAAGTTCCAGGTTGGCGATCTTGTTTGGTCAAAGGTGGGAACCTATCCTTGGTGGCCTTGTATGGTTTCAAGCGATCCCCAGCTTGAGGTTCATACCAAAATAAACACAAGAGGTAAGAAAAGGTATAAATAGATATTAAGTAAAACATTGGAAAGAAAAAAGTGAATCTTAAATGTGGTATTTGAATGTGAGAATACACAAATGAGATATGATCTGACATCAAAATATGCATATTTACATCAGTTTTTAACCAGTGAAATACTTATGGATATTTTAACTGACAGAGCCTTTATAACTGATATAGTCCTTGTTTTCTCTTAAAAGGACTATATCAGTTACAGAAGCTCTACCTTAGGAATCTGTAATAATCACAGCGTAATATGCTAATTAGACCAGACAGCTGAATGACCTTCCTGACATCATTCTGGACAAAGCTGCCACTGCGGGTAGAGGCAGTTAGGGGTGATCAGGCAGGCAGGTGAGCAGTTAGGGGCGATTAGGCAGGCAGGCAGAGTGGTTGGGGTGATCAGACAGGCAGGCAGAGTAGTTAGGGGTGATCAGACAGACAGGCAGAGACAGTTAGGGCAATGAGGCAGGCAGGCAAGTGGTTAGAGGCAGTCAGGCAGGCAAGTGATTAGAAGCCAGTGGTCCCAGGTTGCTAGAGCATGCAGGCTGGTCTGAGGGACCCCCCCCCCCCATTCATGAATTTCGTGCACCAGGTCTCTAGTATTAAATATGAAGAAAGAAATTTTTTTTAAGTCATTAATAATTTTTAATAAATATATGTATTGAAATCTAATGTGTTCAGGAAATAGAATAACAATGCTTGTATAACATAGGAACGAATTTTTTATATTTTTTTAAAATAAATTTTTATAGTTCATATTATTACAAATGTTCCTTCTCCCCCCCCCCCCCCCGCCCTCCATTGCTCTCCTCCACCAGGTTCCCACCCCACCCTCTGCCCTTTCCCCACCCCCCCATTGTCCTCATCCATAGGTGCACAGTTTATGTTCAGTCTCTTCCCACATCCCCCGTCCCCTTTTCCCCAGGAATCGTCAGTTCACTCCCCTTCCATATCTCTGATTCTATTATATTCAACAGTTAATAATGTTCATCAGATTTTTTTATTTAATTTCCTTGGTTTTTAGATTCACTTGTTGATAGTTACATATTTGTTGTTCATAATTTTTATCTTTATTTACTTTCTCTCCCGAAAGAACCCCCTTCAGCAATTCATATAATTCTGGTTTGGTGGTGATGAACTCCTTTAGCTTTTTTTTTTTTTATTAGTGTAGCTCTTTATCTGGCCTTCGATTCTGAGTGATAGCTTTGCTGGGTAGATTATCTTTGGCTGTAGGTTCTTACTATTCATCACCTTGAATATTTCTTGCCATTCCCGTCTGGCCTGCATGGTTTCTGTTGAGAAATCAGCTGACAATCGTATAGGTGCTCCTTTATAGGTAACTACCTGGTTTGCTTTTGCTGCTTTTAATATTCTCTCTTTGTCTTTTGCTCTTGGAATTTTAATTATGATTTGTCTTGGTGTGGTCCTCTTTGGATTCCTTTTGTTTGGAGTTCTGTGCACTTCCTGGACTTGTAAGTCTAATTCTTTCACCAGGTGGGGGAAGTTTTCTGTCACTATTTCTTTCAGTATGTTTTTGATATCTTGCTCTCTCTCATCTTCTGGGACCCCTATAATTCTGATGTTGGTTCGCTTGACGTTGTCCCAGAGGTTTCTTACATTATCTTGCAATTTTCTGGATTCTCTTGCCTTCTAGCTTCTGTGGAGGAGTGTCTTCTGGCTCTTTATGTTCCAAATCTTTGACTTGATTCTTGTGATTTTCCATTCTGTTTTTAGGACTCTGTATAATATTTTTTATTTCAGACAATGTATTCTTTATTTCTTGTTGATCCCTTATCATTCCTTGTTGATTACTTATTAATTCTAGTTGATCCCTTTTCATATCCTCAAAGGTCTTATCGACCTTTTCTAGGAAATTCTTAAAAAACCTTATAAGTGTAGATTTGAACTCTATCCAGTTGCTTTTTGTCCTCCGTTTCTTTCTTTGTGATCTATTTTGATGTCTGGGCATTTTCGCAGCTTCCCTGATAGGGCGGGGTTTCATGGTGGAGCCTACAGCCTTGGCTTCTGTCAGCCCCGCCCTATGCGGCTCCTGAGTCTCAGGGTCCTTCAGTACTTGCTGCAAGCACCTCTGAGAGAAAGGTGCCCTCGATTTTCGCCTGCTACCAAACAGTCTAGGCTCTCCCCCAATGAGCCCGGAACTGGGGTTCAGTTCAGTTGGAAGTGGAGTTGGAGGTGGCGTTCAAGGCAGGCTGGAGCCCCTGTCTCCTTCCCGCCAGAGCAATCCCGTGACACAGCCAACCATCCCTTCTCTGCGCGCAATGTGTGCGCCTCTGGGACCTCCTTTCGCCGCTCCCCTGGGGTTCCACCTTACAGCCCAGCTCCCTCTGTTTGAGCCTGGGTCCTCGGGGTCTGGCCTAGAACTGGGGTTCAGAGCAGTCGGAACTGGGGCCCAGCACAGTCAGAGTTTTGTCTCCTTCCCGCTAGGGAATGCCAGCCAGGCACTCAGCCTCCGCTCCTCTCCGGCTCTGTCCTCTCTGCACATGCCGTGTGTCTCTGTACCTTAGGCTTTTACAGCTCCTCTGCTCTTCCTTCTGGTTTTCTCCTTGCTTCTCGTTGTAGAATTTCCAGTCAGTCGACTTTCCTGTAGTTCTGGGTAATGTCCATTTTATATTTTAGTTGTATTTTATTGAAATTGTTGTGTGCAGCTGCGGCTAGGTGTTTACCTGTACAGCCATCTTGGATTTTCCTCCAAAGAAAGAAATTCTTATAATTTCTTTCACACAAGGAATATTTGTTTTATAATTTCTTTCACACTTTTTTTTTTTAAAGACCTTAATCTGACCTCTCATATGAATTCTAAAAGAAAGCAGATGGATAACTAAGAAGATGTCTTACATGAGTTTTAATAGGCATTTTTAGCCAGATAACTGCTTTTCATCCTGATAAATTTTGCAGGATTATTTTTCTTCATTCCATTTTTGAATCTACATTTACTTAGCTATTCTTATAAATTCAGTATAACATAGAAGTATAGCTTGAATTTAACTATGTAGCGTAGAATTCTACCTTAGGAATCTATAATAATAAAAGCATAATATGCTAATTAGGCCGGATGGCCTTCTGGAGGAATCTGTGGCTGCCGGGGCCAAGGCAGGGGCCGAGTCCCTTGCACGGATTTTGTGCAGGGGGCCTTCAGTATTAAATATTAAGAAAATATGTGTTCTAACTTTTCTTGACTCCTGCTTCTGGATTTGACCAAAACATATAGATTAGGTTACTAATGGCATTTGGAATAGACTTGCTTAGTAGCCAGAGCCCTGTTCACTGTTCTGAGGAGAAAAAAATGTCTGAATCTTAAGTCTGGCAAGTCAAATTAGTGACTGGAGCAGTCATATCTATAACTCTTGTGCTGCACATCCAGGAATCTGACCTGATAAGAAAGGCAGTCATCTTGTCATTATAATCTGCCTATTAAAGGTTGGGATAACTGAAAGCATCAGTAGGGCAGGAGCAAGAAAAAAATTGTTGAACATCTACTTCTGTGTAAGGCACTGTGTTACACAGTTCTCTTGTATAAGCAGCCCACTTAGCAGCAGCATTATAAAGTACAAAGCATTGCTGTTCTTATGTTTCAGATAAGTAAATAGAGTCTCAAATCTCATTGTATACCCTCTACTCTAGTACCATCATTTATATAAAAAGGGTGTTGAACTAGTAATCTCTACATGTTTAATAATCTATGACTCTATGAGGGAGATTAAAGGAGCAATTATTTTCCAAGAGGGCCAAGCCTTCTTAAATAAAACTGCCTGTCTATATATTTGCCTCCAGAGGATGCTAAGATATTATATGATGTGAGATTTGTTATTCTTCAGTTCTCTCCCCTTAGAAAAGCATCCTTTTGAGATTATATAAAGACCTTCACATTTAATTACTGTATGAGAATCTGCTAATTTCACCTTTTTATAAGATGCAAATAAAATCTCAATTTATGCTTCATCTGTATTTCAAAGGATATATTTAAATTTAGTTTTACGAATTAATCTAGTCTGGTTTGGTACCCCCTAAGCAGTCTCCTGTTGAAATAAAAGATTTTGTTTGTATTATTTGTGACAACCAGAAATCTCAGAAATTTAGGTTTTAAAAAATATCTATTCTGATTATATTTCAAAATTTCTCTTTTTCTTCAGTAGTTCTAAAAATAATAAGCTTTCTTGAGAAATGAGTTACATACTATAAGATTCCCCCTTTTAAAGTGTGCAATTCAATGATTTGAGTACAATTATAGAGTTGTGTGGCCACTACAACTATTTAATTTTAGAACATTTTAATCAACCAAAAAGAAATTCAGTATCCCTAAATAGTTACTACCGATTCCTTCCCTTGTCCCCTAAGCAGCCACTAATTACTTTCTACTGCTACAGATTTGCCTTTTTTGGACATTTCAGGTAAATGGAATCACACTATTTGATCTTTTGTGTCTGGGTTCTTTCACTTAGCATAATGTTTTAGAGGCTTATCTATATTGTGGTGTGTTTTAGTACTTCATTCCTTTTTATTGCCAAACTAGAGGCCCTGTGCATGAAATTCATGCCCTGCGGATATAGGGGGTCCCTCAGCCCATCCTGCACTCTCTTGCAATCCTGAACCTCTCAGGGAATGTAGTTGGACATCCCTCTCACAATCCAGGACTGCTATCTCCTAACCAGGATGCCTGTCTGCATGATCACTCCTGATGACGTCCAGAAGATCATTTGGCTGTCTGGTTTAATTAGCATATTATGCTTTTAATTATTATAGATAACATTCTATTGTATGGCTGTGCTGTACAGTTTTTTGTTTTTCTTTAATATACTTTATTGATTTTTCACAGAGAGGAAGAGAGAGGGATAGAGAGTTAGAAACATCGATGAGAGAGAATCATCGATCAGCTGTCTCTTGCACACCCCCTACTGGAGATGTGCCCGCAACCAAGGTACATGCCCTTGCCCGGAATCAAACCCGGGACCTTTCAGTCCGCAGGCCGACGCTCTATCCACTGAGCCAAACCAGTCCCGGCGTGTGCTGGACAGTTTTAAATGAAGTATTTGTCTGACAGTTTTTGTGAAAATCAAAAAGAGCAGCATAAAATTTAATTTTGTTACATAGCACACATGATGCCTGTGAAGCATTTTGTGTTGCTTATTACCTAAACTACTTGAAAATTTGCCTTGATTTTACATAATAATCATTGGTTTCCATATTATTATTAAATTCTTAGCATTGGAAGTGTATTCTCAAAGGTTTTCACCCTTAAAATTCTTTGCAAGAGCATGTTGAAAGATGTTTGGCCCTAGCTGGTTTGGCTCAGTGGGTAGAGTGTCGGCCTGCGGACTGAAGGGTCCCAGGTTCGATTCTGGTCAAGAGTGCATGCCCAGGTTGTGGACTCAATCCCCAGTGGGGGGCATGCAGGAGTGGACTGATCAGTGATTCTCTCTCATCATTATCTCTCACCTATCTCTCCTTTTCCCTTCCTCTCTGAAATCAATAAAAATTTATTTTAATAATAATAAAAGTTAATTTTAAAATATCTTTGGATCACATGTCTATTTTAAGTTGTATTTCATTGTTCAGGTCTCATTTTAAATTTAAAAGTTGAAAATGAAATGCTTTTTCTGTTTATAACAATACAAAAATATATATGGTCAGAAGTGAGAGGTGTCCATAGTTTGTTCTTCAATATATAAGTACTTTTAAGAGTTTGAAAGTAATTCTTTTTTCTCTATGCATAGTGTAAGTTTAATTAATAGGTATTAAAATACATTTTTATTGAATTTTAAATGGCATAACATACCCATTATAACTTTTGACCATAACATATATTTTAAGTTTAAAACTGGATGGTTTTACCTTTATATTATTTTTCTTATATAAAAACATTTCCTCAACATTTTTCTATTGGAAATTTAGTCCATTATTCAGAAAGAGATGTGCTGCCAAAACCGGTTTAGCTCAGTGGATAGAGCGCCGGCCTGTGGACCGAGAGGTCCCAGGTTCGATTCCGGTCAAGGGCACGTACATTGGTTGCAGGCACATCCCCAGTAGGGGGTGTTCAGGAGGCAGCTGGTCGATATTCCTCTCTCATTGATGTTTCTAGCTCTCTATCCTTCTTCCTTCCTCTCTGTAAAAAATGAATAAAATATATATATATATATTTTTTTTTTTTATAAAGAAAGAAAGAGATGTGCTTATTTCTTAGTCTTTCAGGTCTTTCGGTTTTACATTTTTATTTTATGATTTTCTAGCCACCAGGAAGTAAAGTGCTAACAAAGAGGCATATAGTTTCATCCATAGTAAATTATTTAATTAGTGAAAAAGTTGAAAATAAAGAGTAAAATTAGTTTGGGTTATGTATTAGTTTTAGTTTTTAACTATCAAGTCATTTGGGGTTGTCTGTCTGCTTTTGAATAAATAACTCTGAATCTTGGAAACAGATTATGTCCTGTGATCTTTCAGCCCTGCTACTCATCACCCTATCCTCCAAACTCATCTACTAGTTTAGGTTATATTTCTGTTTTTGTCCCTCAATACCTTTGGACTTTTGATAAACCTTCTTTGATTAATTATAATAGAATCTGTGAGTCACTCTTCTTTCTCAAATTAAAAGATACAGAAATCTGAATTGTGTGTATGTTTTCTCTTAGAGGCTATTTTTCATATGAAATTTTAATTTGGTTTCAAAATTCCTTATATAATCTCATGCTTATTGTCTAATAAAATTAAAATTTTTCAAATCTAAGATGTAATAGATTTCAGATAACTTAGTTTAATTTAGGCATAATACCTATATTTATCTAGTCAGGATCTGCTTGTTGTCTTTCTCTCTATCTGAAATTCTTGGATTCCCCAAAAAGATCAGTACCTGTTTCTCCGTTGACCTGAGACTTTCTCTAGAATAGTGTTTTTCAACTATGTTTGGTAAAGGACTAGTTTTTTTTGTTGTTGTTGTTGTTTTTTTTCATTTCTAGTCTACCATGGACCAATATTTCTAGCAAATACAATAAAATCAACTATTAGAGAAATGACAGGCCTCCCCCTCCAAAAAATACAGAGTATAAGATCCCTAATTATGTGCCACAGCAATGTCAAATTATCATAGGTTCTAAATGCCCACTTTTTTTTTTTTTAATATATTTTATTGATTTTGTACAGAGAGGAAGGGAGAGAGATAGAAAGCTAGAAACATCGATGAGAGAGAGAGTCATCGATCAGCTGCCTCTTGCACACCCCCTACTGGGGATATGCCCGCAACCAAGGTACATGCCCTTGACCGGAATCGAATCCGGGTCCCTTCAGTCCCCAAACCGACGCTCTATCCATGGAGCCAAACCGGTCTCGGCTAAATGCCCACTTTTAACTTTCGTGCTTTTTTTTTTTGTCACAGACTGGCTTATTCTAGGAACTACACTTTTGGAGTAGCACTATTCTTTTTTTTTTTTTTTTTAATCAATCTTTATTGTTCATATTGTTACAAAGTTTCCTCATTTCTTCCCCCCTCCACCAGGTTCCCACCCCACCCTCTGCCCCCTCCCCATCCCCCATTGTCCTCATCCATAGGTGCAGTTTATGTTCAGTCTCTTCCTCCCTCCCTTTCCCCGATAGTAAATCCCTTTTCAGATAGTAAATCAGTTACTTAGCATTTTCTCATATCAATAATACCACCACATGCCCAATGATACATTTCACACAAAAGACATTTCCAAATAGGTCAACCAGCCTCATCCAGGCCCCACCCAAGGCACTCACAGATCAACACCCCAGCCCTATACATCCAGATCTAAGCCTTCATTACTTGATTCAGCAGACCCTCAAGTTCCCACAAAAGTTTCCAGCCATGTCTGAGTGGCAGCCGTGGGGCAGGGGCAGGCGAGGAGCGAGCTGTTCCGGGCCTGGCCGCACCAGACCCGGCTGCTTCGGGCCTGGCCGCTCCCAGCTTGGCAGCCGCTGCTCCAAGCCTGGCCGCTCCCAGCCTGGCAGCCGCTGCTCCGGACCTGGCCGCACCAGACCCGGCTGCTCCGAGCCTGGCCGCTCCCAGCCTGGCAGCCGTGGAGTAGCACTATTCTGCAGCAACTATTCTCAAATGTTTTGGTCCCAGAGGCCCTTTTATTCTTAAAATTTGAGGACTCCAAGAAGCTTTGTTTTTATAACTGCCAGTATATGGCTGTGAAGAATATGATACTATTGATAGTTTGGTGTCACTCGTTGCCTCTATTTGTGCTAAGATGCCAGCACTCTTATCTGCCATTGCTTTTGCGATATAGATGCAAATGTCAGAATAGTAAAAAGATAAGTAACATCTTAGTATTTTATGAAGATAGTTTGACTTCACAGGATCCCTGGAAGAGTCTCAATAGCCTCTACTATTTTATCCCCACGTCTCTATACCACACTTACACAGCTAGAAAAGCAATTTGACCAGCACTTAGCTTTAGAAGTCCAAGAAAAGATGTTACACATTTTTTGGAGGAAAGTTTATTTATTTAACTCAGATTTGTTTGTAAAAAGTTTTGAGGCAAATAAAAATAAATTGTGCAAGCAACGTAAATCTGATAATTAGTAGAATTTATGATTTTCTTTCTTTTAAACCTTGATATACTAATTTAAATCATTTGGGGTGAGTATACTAATTTAAATAATTTGGGGTGAGTTTTGTAATAACTATTGGTCACTATTGGATTACATCTTTGGGTAACCCAAAACTACAACTTGTGTGTGTGTGTGTGAGTGTGTGTGTATGTGTGTGTGTGTGGACTTCTGTCATTTTTTATTTGATGATCTAAGGGAAGACTAGTTACACGCTTTAAAAAATTTTGTGACACATGGGTTGAAAATCACTGACCTAGGTTATAGACAAGATAAATTGTCCGCAAACATGAGCTGCGTCCATGTGAAGGCATTTTCCGTACAGCTGGCTTGTTCATAAACATAAGGCCCCCTCCTACTTAGCCACCACTAGATACCTAGAATTCTGGTGTCAGTGTTCCATCCCAGAGTTGGTGGGCAGTCTCCATGCTGGCATCCGGCTCCCTCTGCATGTATACCTGCCAAGGTCCAAAGTGGGCCTTCTTTGTTGCCTCCAATAGCACAAATCCTCCTGTGTAATAAAAGCCTAATATGCAAATTGACAAAATGGCAGAGTGACCAGTCGCTGTGATGTGCACTGACTACCAGAGGGCAGATGCTCAATACAGGAGCTGCCCCCAGCCGACAGGCCCCAGGCCAGCAGGCCCCAGGCCAGCCAAAGCGGGTGCCAGTGACCCTGCCAGTTGACCCACAGAGGGAGGTGACCAGCAGCAGGGCAGAGCTGGTGAGCAGGAGGCACAAGGCTAGCCAAGGTGAGTGCCAGCGGGGGTTCCCTGATTGTCCTGCTGGTCACCCTACAGATTGGCCCTGATCACTGGCCAGACCTAGGGACCCTACCCGTGCACGAACTTCGTGCACCAGGCCTCTAGCATGTACAGAAGAGGAAAGGATGTGCTTGAAATGTGTGTGGTAGTTTTACAGAAAGATGTTTGAGGAACTGAAATGTGTTTTAACTACTGCCATTGGAAGTATGCTAAGTTGTCATGTCAAGTCAACATTTCCTATTGCAAAACTACAACTTTTAATGGGAATAATACTAGGGAACCAGCTTAGGTTCATGTTTTTTGCAAAGTATATGTTCATGCTTATGTTCTGAAATGGTTAATAAGGATTTTTACTTTCAGGTGCCCGGGAATATCACGTCCAGTTTTTTAGCAACCAACCAGAGAGGGCATGGGTTCATGAAAAACGGGTACGAGAGTATAAAGGTCATAAACAATATGAAGAATTACTGGCTGAAGCAACCAAACAAGCCAGCAATCACTCTGAGAAACAAAAGGTAATTGACAACATGTTAACATTATCAATCAAATATAGTTCTTAAAGGACTTCATAACTACCACACACATTTAATACTTAATTCAGATAATTACTAGAATGACTTATTTTTTTAATTCCTTGTATTCCAATTTAATAACTTACTATGTCAGTAATTTTGTAAGTCATATGTATAGTGTTACAGTACTATTAAAAACTTTACCTGTCTGCTCAGTATAATGTTGGATTCTATTTTGAATTGAATTAATTTACCTATGTAAGTGTAGATGCTAGTGAAATATGGATTTTGCAAAGGTTTTTTGTTATTTTTCTTATTTTAACATCTTTCCATACTTGTTCTTCATTCTTATTTAGCAAAATTTTTATGAACATAAAGTTTAAAAAATATTTAGTATCTATTGTGAGAGAGGCAATGCTTGTATTTAATCTTCATAAAATTTAAATGAGGTAGATACTATTATTCTTGTTTCTAGAGATGAAGAAATTGAGACAGAAAGCTTAACTGGTTCAACTCAGGTCACACAGGTGATGAACCAAGAAATATGTTTGATGTGATGGTGAATATTTTAGAATTTTGATTAAAAACTCGTGATGCTCTGTCTGGTTGAGATATTTAAATATGTTTTTAAATATTTTTCATTGATTTTTAGAGAGAGAGGAAAGGAGAGGGATAGAGAAATAGAAATAACAATGAAAGAGAAACAACATCAGTCCACTGCCTTCTGCACACACACACACCCCGAGGATCAAGCTTGCAACTGTGGCATGTGCCCTCACCAGGAATCGAACCACTGACCTCTTGGTTCCTGGGTTGATGCTTACCTGCTGAGCCATATTGGGTGGGCTGGATAAGATTTTTAAACTCAACTAATTAATTTTAATGTGGGTCTCTTGTGATTCAGAAATTTGTCATATTTTTACACTTTAAAAGCTAAAATTGATCACAGAGGATTTTGATTAATTTTATCCCACTTAACATTTTACAGATTTATACATCAGTGTTTGATGTACACTATAACATTTCATGGTTTCATTAGCTAATTTCTGGCTACCTCAGTCAGAAATTAACTCCCTGGATAATTCTTAATTGCTATAGTCATCTCACATGACTAGTTTTCTTATCTGTCTTAACAATCCAAAGATTTTTTTTTTTTAAATCAACCCCAGACATAGATACCTATAAAAACTCTGATTCAGGTTTACTTTTCCTCTCATACAATACATTTTTGCTTTACTATGTCTTATCAACTTACATTTGTTCCTCAGTGCTCTCTCCTTTCTCCATTCTGCCTCTGTGTGCCTTATGTTACAAACTAGCAGCACAGCTTCAAATGCTGGCTCTTCAAGTGCCAGTTAGCTTTGTTGTGATCTTTGTTGACCCTGCAGCTGTAGAAGTATCATTCTTTTAATACACACACGTGCACGTGCGCGCGCACACATACACACACACACACACACACACACACACACACACACACACACTAGAGGCCCGGTGCACGAAATTCGTGTGCTGGGGGAGGAGAGGGGTCTTCTCAACCCAGCCTGCAACCTTTCCAATCTGGGATCCCTTGGATGTCTGACTGCCAGTTTAGACCTGACCCCTGTGGCAGGGACATTCCTCTCACAGTCTAGGACTGCTGGCTCCTTACTACTCGCCTGCCTGACTACCCCTAACTACTTCTGCCTGCCAGCCTGATTGCCCCTGATCGCCCCCAACTGCCCTCCCCTGCCAGCCCCATCACCCCCAACTGTCCTCCCCTGCCAGCCCAGTCTCCCCCACGTGTCCTCCCCAGGGAGGGTCTGGGATTCCTGACTGATAGCAAGCTGACCAGCTGCCAGTTCCACAAGGAATGGGGTGCCCTCCTCCCTCCTTCCAGGGCCCAGGGTGCAGGGCAATGGGATTCCTGGTTGACAGGCTGCTGACAGCAAGCCGTCCAATGGCTGATTCTGCAAGGAATGGGACTCCCTTGTCCCTCCTGTGAGGCTCTGGTTTGAAGGCCATCCATGCCCCTGATCGAGTGAGACCCAGAGTTATGCTGTGCCCCAGCCAGCAGGGCCCACAGCTCCCTCCTGCTGCTGCCCGCTCCCTCAGCTCAACTGTTTAGGTCCTGGCGGCACCTGGCTTTTTATATATTAGGATATAAAAGGCTAAGCTACTGTCCAACCATCCGACTAGTAGCTATGACATGCAGTGACAAACAGGGCAGATGCTCAATGCAGGAACTGCTGGGCTGTGGTGCCTTGGCAACAGTGATTCTCAGGTTATGCACCTTGGAACCAGAGAAGGTAGCCCGATTTCAGGGTATGTCTCCCGAGAACTGCAACCAGGGACCCCTTGGGGGAGTGTTGGAGAACGATTTTGGCCCAAACCCCATAGGCCAGACTGAGGAACCCCACCCACTCCACAGATGCCTTTCCAGTCGCAGCGCTGGCTCAGTTGTGGCCAGACCATGGCGCATTGGTTTCAGGGCGTGTCCAGCCCATCTCGCCTAGTCCCACCCTGCTGGCCACTTTCTAAATAATTTCCTTTCCATGTGCATGAATCTGTGCACCAGGCCACTAGTATATATATAATTGATTTCAGAGAGTAAATGAAAGGGAATCATTAATGGCTGCCTCTTGCATGTCCCCTACTGGGGATTGAACCTGCAACCTGAGCATGTGCCTTGATTGTTCATAGATCAGTGACCTCTTAGTTCATAGGTCAGTGCTCAACCATGAACCACACTGGGGCATTACTGCTAACTTTTTATGAAAAGTGGTCAGCAAAGGGGGATATATAAAAGGGAATAGACATGCACGACATTTAATAGTAATACCAATTTATCCAAGTTATAGACTAAGAACACTTCATTGATTTAACTGAAAAACCTGAAAATATTTATGTGTACCTAGAAAGATGACAGGCTCACATGGGAAATACCTTGTGGTTTAAATGCACTTATTAGCTTGAAATGTGTCTGATAATGCCTATATCTCTCTTTAAAGATTCGGAAACCCCGACCACAGAGAGAGCGTGCTCAGTGGGATATTGGCATTGCCCATGCAGAGAAAGCATTGAAAATGACCCGAGAGGAAAGAATAGAACAGTATACCTTTATCTATATTGATAAACAGCCTGAGGAGGCTTTATCCCAAGCGAAAAAGAATGTTGCCTCCAAAGCGGAAGTTAAAAAACCCCGGAGACCAAGATCAGTGCTGAATACTCAGCAAGAACAGACCAATACAGGTGAGGTGGCCTCCTCACCATCAAGTACTGAGACACGGAGACTTAGCCAGAGGCGGCACACGAGTGTGGAAGAGGAAGAACCACCTCCTGTTAAAATAGCCTGGAAAACAGCAGCAGCCAGGAAATCATTACCAGCTTCTATTACAATGCACAAAGGGAGCTTGGATTTGCAGAAGTGCAACATGTCTCCAGTTGTGAAAATTGAACAAGTGTTTGCTCTTCAGAATGCTACAGGAGATGGGAAATTTATCGATCAGTTTGTTTATTCAACGAAGGTACCTCCTTTTTTTATATCGTTGTGCGATTTCCCCCCCCTCCAAAATGGTATTTAATAAGTAGTTTACCTTGGCATTTAAAAAAGACACACCACCAGATCATAATTTAAATATTCACTGCATTTGAAATGTACAGCCAGTTCACTCTGTTGCAGATGGGGCAAAAAAAAGACAGGAAAAAAAGACTATGATTTTCCCTCCTTTGCCCCCATCTCTTGTAATATCCCTATCTGAACTTGATTAATCTTTAGCTGTGCTAACCAAAATTTAGCCTAGCTCCCTAAAGTTGTGGGGAGAAAGTGGGCAATTTGCCTTTTCTTTGTTTGTATAGTTAATTTTTCTTAGTTGAAAAGTGTACTTCTTATTAAATCATTTTATCATTTCTTTGAATTAATCTTTGTAATAATTGTACCCACTGATCAATCGGTTCAGCAAATCTCAATACTTGAGTTCAGCAAAGAAAGAATTCAGAGCTAAGAAACTCAAATTATAAGAGAAACTTCATTTGGAAAGTCACAGAGGTAGAGGTGAGTCAGGTGGGCTTTGAGGGCCAGGAAATGAGTTACAGAGGCAAAAGCAGGGCCTTAGAACTTAGCAAAAAGAAAGGTGGAGAGCAGGTGCCTGGGGAAGGAGAGCATAAAGAAAGGTGCTGGGTGCTAGATGCAAGCAATCTGTTTGGTTGCACTAGCAATTTTGTTAAGCTCATGTTGACTTGAGATAGCTAATATATTTTAGAGAAATACCAGAACTTACGTTAGTTCTTTAACTGTAGTGATAGCTTGGGTATGGGGTGAAAATATCTTCTTGGAACTGAATGTCTCTGACAGCCAGCTCTAGGCCTCCATTTAGTGCACTTATACTTTAGTTTTACTACTTCAAAACTCATAAGATTTATAATATGTATTCCATAGACCTTTTCACTACCTCCCAGCAGTACCAATCGTGGGCTTATGAATTTGAGTTAGTGGCACCTCATAAGTGTGTGTGTGTGTGTGTGTGTGTGTGTGTGTGTCTGTGTGTCTGTGTGTGTGCGCACGCGTGTTTTAAACATATTTTATTGATTTTTTACAGACAGGAAGGGAGAGGGATAGAGAGGTAGAAACATCAATGAGAGAGAAACATCGATCAGCTGCCCTCCTGCACACCTCCTACTGGGGATGTGCCCACAATCACGGTACATGCCCTTGACTGGAATCGAACCTGGGACCTTTCAGTCCGCAGGCTGATGCTCTATCCAGTGAGCGAAACCGGTTAGGGCATGGGTGTATATTTTTAAAGAATTCTCTATTTTCTAAAATTGTTATATGGACATTAAAATAATTAAATATAGATATGCTTTATTATTGATATGCTTTTCAACAGGAAAGTGTAAAGTCCTCTGCTTGTTTTCTGCCTTTAGGTGCAACTGATTTCATTAAGGCTTAACTGCTTGAAAAAACTTAAGTTACAGTTCAGTTCCCACTTGGTTCTGCTGATAACTTTGAATGGCAAATGAGTACTCTGTCTTTTTTGAATGCAGATTGACTCCATTAATGGAGCTAGTTTTTTATCTTTTAGATGCACAGTTCAAATTTTTGTAACCCCCTCCAAAGAGTGCTGTGTAAATGAAATTTGAGATAAAACTGATCTTTTATAAATGAAAACTTATAAAAAATATATACATATTTATAAATCACTCCTTTATTTCAGTGAAATAAAAATACCTAAACCTTCCAGTTCCAAATTGCTTATTAGTTGCACATTTTGGTCACCATGAATGGTATGGTTCTGTATCTATAGATGATGTTGTCTTTGAAGATGTGTTGAAAGTTTCAGCTGTGTAATAGAGTACTTTGCCAAATTAAGATGCCTAGAGTTCTCTTACTGTGACTTGAGTAAAGGGAGAGACTGTTCAGACCAGAAAATACTTTGTTTTTTACAGAAAATTATGTGATACACATTCATTTTTTTTAATGTATTGATTTTTAAAAAAAATATTTTATTGATTTTGTACAGAGAGGAAGGGAAAGAGATAGTTAGAAACATCGATGAGAGTCATCGATCAGCTGCCTCTTGCACACCCCTACTGGGGATATGCCCACAACCAAGGTACATGCCCTTGCCCAGAATCGAACCCAGGACCCTTCAGTCCCCAAGCTGACTCTCTATCCATTGAGCCAAACCGGTTTCGGCGATACACATTCATTTTTTAGTGATATTTATCATCTGGACTTAGATGTATAGATTTTTTTCTACATTATTATCTCATTGTACATTTTGGAATACAACCTGATGACTTTTAATAAAATGGTTCTGATACTGACTCGGATAATTAGCTGCAATCAAGGCCATATAAAATTCAAGAAAAGTATAATCTTGAGCTATTTCTATAAACCAAAGATAACTATTTTTTAAAATCTTTATTGTTGAAAGTATTACATATGTCCCCAATACCTATTTTTATTTGCCTTATTTTGAAGGGAATTGGTAACAAGGCGGAAATAAGTGTCAGGGGACAAGACAGACTTATAATTTCTACACCAAACCAGAAAAATGAAAAGGCAACTCAGAATATATCATCTCCTGAAGCAACATCTGGTTCTGCAGGTGGGTATGAATGAAGAATATATTGATTCAGTTTGAGGTCATAGTTCTGCTCTACTATAACATGGTAGCTATATTCCTAAGAAACTTTTAGTTATCAAAATCTAATTTTATTTTTAAAAATCAAACTATAAAAGCAATTATTTTAATAGGAAAGAATGATTTAGGGGCAAGAGAGCTTATAGTAACAGTTATTTTTCCTACAGGAATTTAAATAATAGTGTTAACAGCAAGATGGCAAGAATTCAGGTCTTGTCTTCTTGAAGGAAAAATTTCAATCAAGAGACAAAGTGTAGAGAAGCAAGCAAGAATTTGAATGCAGCAAAAAGTACTTAGTGCAGTGAAACAAGGAAGGACATAGAGGAAGCAATAAGAGCCTCGTAGAGAAAAGGGGGCCTTGAAGACAGGTTCATAGGTTTAGCCTGAGCTGCTGCTGCCCGTTGCTCTCCTAGTTACAAGTCCCAAGGGGTCCCTTAGAAGTTAGGTGACACATGCCTGTGGGTGGGGGGAAAGAAGGGGAACGGAGTGGCCCAGACTATGCTCCCTGGAGAAAGAGCTTCATTTTCAGGGGGTTAGGGGGAAGTCTTAGGGACAAAATAGAACCAGAATGTTACCAGACCTGGGGTTCAGCAAATCCCAATATTTGAGTTCAGCAAAGAAAGAATTCAGAGCCAAGAAACTCAAATTATAAGAGAAACTTCATTTAGAAAGTCACAGAGGTAGAGGTGAGTCAGGTGGGCTTCGAGGGCTCAGGAAATGAGTTACAGAGGCAAAAGAAGAGCTCTTGGAACTTGGCAAAAAGAAAGGTGGAGAGCAGGTGCCAGTGGGAAGGAAAGTGGGAGGAAAGGTGCTGGCTGGTGCTGGGTTTTTATCTACTCTCTAAAGTTGAGGATCTCGATAGACTGTTTATCAGCTTTCCAGGTGTATCCTTTCCGGGTCAGTCTTCACTGATTTTCAGCGCAAGGGCCCGGGTCATTAGTCCTTGCATCTGTTCATGATGTCAGATAGCATAGCTTAATCTGCTTTTGCTGCTTTTCTGGGCCTGCTTGGAGCTGAAACACAACTGAGGCCTAAATGTCATCTCTAGTTTAACCAAAACTCTGACTCTGTGTTCAGCTCTGCCTCCAAAAACATTGATGCAGATTAGAGCCTCATTGTCCTGAGGGTTTAATGCTTAAGGGAGTGGTCGCACAAGGGCTTGCATGGGAATCATGTGAGGCTATCCTATGGCCCCCTAGTTCCTTCTCTAAAGAAGTCTACCCTATGACCAGCAACGTGCGGGGGGGAGGGGAGGAGCAAACTGCACGACAAGTGATATGAAGGTCAGAAGGTCTAAACCTCATACAGTGATATGCTTGCTGGAAGAGGAGAGGTTACCCTGGGGGCAAGGTCCTACTCTACAATAATTGTTTTTCCCACTTTTGCCCATTGCTAGGTACCTGGGGCTTTCCAACCTGGTGACCTACCATACCTGGTCTATCATCCTTGGCTCTGCTCATGCCTAACTACCTACTACATATTTCAAAATACTGTGTTAAAAAAATGAAATTATGTTGAAGGGATGAATAAATGGACTTAGATTTTACATTAATTAGCCATAATTGAAAATATTTGTTTTCTTCTTTGAATATTAAAATACTCTTTTGGCCTCAGCCCTCCATAATCAGTTTTATTGTCTTTCTTTACATTAAACTGTTTACATTATCTGAATTTAAATGTGATACATAGAGTAGGAGGGTCTTTATTTAAACATCTAAATTCTCCTAAAAAGAGAAAGTAAATTCTTCATATAATATTAGACTGCTCTTAAATATACTTTTTAATTTTATTTTAAAATAAAATTTATTTTAAAATAAAATTAATAATATTTTTAAATATTATTTTTAAATCCTCAATCAAGGATATTTTTTCTCATTGGTTTTTAGACAGAGTGTGAAAGGGAGAGAGAAAGGGGGGAGAGAAACATGTGAGAGAGTCACATGCATTGGTTGTCTTCCGCTCTCACCAGTGATTGAGCCTGCAACTGAGATACTAGCCCTTGACCAGGAATCTAATCCAAGATTCTTTAATCCTTAGGCCATTTCTCTCTCAACTAGCCAGAACTTTTTTTTCCTTCTTTTTTTTTTTAATCTCATCTGAGGATATTTTTCCATTGATTTTAGATGGGAAGAAAGGAGGAGAGGGGGACAGAGACAGAGATAAATATTAAAATGAGAGAGATGCATCGATTGGTTGCCTCCTGCAATTACCTCAACCATGTCGGGGTAGAACCTACAACACAGGTATATATGTGCCCTTGACTAGGAATTGAACCTGAGACCCTTTGGTTTGCAGATCAGTGCTCAACCACTGAGCAACACCAGTTAGTCTATACTTTTATTTTTAATTGAGCTGGTTTTTTCCCTTCTCAGCTACCGAACATTTTATTTTCATGTAGTCTTTTCATTGTAAGATTTAAGTTCTGCAATGGACTTTTTCTCTTTACTTTCTTATAAATGAAAGGTAAAGTATAATTTTATCATTGTTTATATCTGGAAAAAGCCCAGTTTCCTCCTTAGGCAAGAACATATAATTAGGCTGTAAATTAATGTTGGGACCTTAATATAGGGATGAGTGTTTTTTGTTTTGTTTTAGGTTTATTTATTTATTTTTTGTTTTTGTTTTTTGTTTGTAATCCTCACTGGAATATATTTTTACATTAATTTTTGGAGAGAGTGCAAGGGAGGAGGAAAGAGCGAGAGAAATATCTATGTGAGAGAGAAATCCATTGGTTGCCTCTTAACACTACACCCTGACTGGGACCAATTCTGCAACTAAGGTACATGTCATTGAGTGGAATCAAACCTGGGACCCTTCAGTCCAAGGATTGACACTGCCCACTGAGCCAAACCATCCAGGGCAGGATGAGTGTACTAAAGCTTTGACCTTGGCTTAAATGTGGTTACCAGCTATGGATGATAAGTGTATTTTGTCGTTTTAAATGACCATTTTGCTTCTTATAAAAATAACTTCAGTACAGGCATACCTCGTTTTATTGTGCTTCATTTCTTTTTTTGCACTTCACATATGTTGCATTTCTTCCAAATTGAAGGCAAGACCCTCCACCAGCCAAAAGATTTCGACTCACTTTGTTGCGATGGTCTGGAACTGAACCCACAATATCTCTGAGGTATGCCTGTAGTTGAAAGTCAGAAAAAAGATTTCATTTTCCTTCAGAAATTAGTTATATCATTATCTCAACTGGTGTTAACTACCTACAGAGAATTCCTAAGCCTTTTCCTAGTTAATTTAGGGGATACACAGAATGTATGGCACAGTTGCATTTCTATGGTTTGCAGAATTGTATTTGAATTTATACTAGGTTTCTAAGCTATTTTCCAAGATGGTTACCTCCTCTAACTTAGAATGTAATCATAATACTTTTTAGTGGTTTTAAATGTAGTGGAATTTATGTGTTTTATGGGTAGCTTTCAGAATTTTAAGAAGTCGTGTTGCCTTATCTTCTATAAGCCAGTACCTCAAGTATCTGTACTTGATGGAACAGTTATGTTGTCATCCTCAAAACGAGTAGAGATTTTTGTTTGTCTTAAGCAGTTCTGTTTTCATTTTCTTCTTCCCTAGTAGGTATTCAAACATTGATAAGTACACTAAAGTATGGATTTCTGGTATACTTAGGTGTCTATGAGGGCAGATTATCTGTTGTTTTGATAAACATTTTCATCAGTAAGGGTAAAGGAAGGAGCTAGCGTCTTCATTTGTGAATTCTCTGCCAGAAACGAATAACCACAGCTCAGAAGCAATATGTTATTTCAAACTACCTACTCTTTCCCCAAAACAAAGGTAGTGGGATCCTTCTTTGTTTTGGCCTTGAACTAAGGTGAGGGAATCTATTGTATTTATACATAGGCAAGAACAATGAAATCAAATAATATGCAGGTGATCTGAAGGCTTTACTGAAGCAGCTTCTGCCTGATTTTATAGGAAGTCTTATCAGATTTCTCCTGTAATAAGTGAAAGATGATTATCTAGGAATGACCATTTAGGTGGTCCAAGCACTGAAAAGATGGAGAATAGCTGCACTGAAGGTATCGTTCCTTCTCAGGGTCACAGAATGAAATCATTCTTGACATAGTAGTCTTTCAAGTTGTGATCTTCAATCTAAGTTTTATCCTTTCCAAAATGGGTGAATGTGAGTCATCATCTTTTTACTTTTAAAGAATTTTACTGTTTAAAAATCTCAGTAGCTTCTTGTTTTACCATTTAACATGAAAGCACTTTAAAATTTGTTTCAACCAGTTTTCCATGATTTAAGTATTTCTATTATAACCAGTCCCTTGAGAGTCACGTTAATAATTTGGTTTAGGTCAGCATTTTTTGTGCATTTCCTACCTTTTCCCCTTTTGTTGTTAATAATATAACATTAGCAATACTTGTTAAGCACTGTTAATCACTTTACAGATAGAATTCATTTGTTAAAATGCAAAATATGTAGTACTGACTGAATTTTGAATCAATATTTCCTAATGTCAACTGAAAATAAAGTCACTGTCATTCATCTCAATCCCTTCATCTCTTCAATTATAGATACATAAATTTGTTCATCTGCTTTCAAGAAGACTAAACTATGTCTCTGCAACTTAGAAAAGCAGGGACTTTGGTCAAATCTTACATAAATGTCAAACCATCCTTAAATGTGTTTTTGTTTATTTGTTTGTTTAAATTATCTTTTAGGCTCAGAAAAGAAACAACAGAGAAGATCAATTAGAACTCGTTCTGAATCAGAGAAATCCACTGAGGTTGTGCCAAAGAAGAAGATCAAAAAGGAGCAGGTTGGCTTCCTACATGTAGAGAGTTAAAGCATTGTATTTGTAAATGTTGTGGCTTAATATTTTCTTTGGTACCTTAAAGAAAGAAAAACTTTCCCCACCCTGGGTTTCCTTTCTGGACTATCTTATGCTTCTGTCCTAGTGAATTCCACAGCCTTGCTTTAATCCAGCCATCCCTGTGATTCTGCTTCAAGCATTTTCACAGAATACATTCAGGCTTCGGGAGGTGGGAAGCCAGTGGTGCAAGACTTGAAGTCCTCACATTTATTTTGAAATTTCTGTTATAAGCAAAATGATTTCATGTTTTCATGATTTTTATTTGGAACCATCAGTGAGTTCCCTTTAAAAAAAATTTTTTTTAATTTTCTTTTTAAGCTGCTGGTTACATTTTTATTTTTTAAACAAATCAAATTAAGTACGAGAATTATATTTAAGAAACAGATATCATAGATGATCTGGTTTTTCTGTTGGTATCACAGATTTTTTGGAATGTTATTTTCCTAATGGAATTGCACTCATGTTATTGGGTTATCAGATAAACATGTTTCAAGAGTGTGTGTGTGGGGGGGGGGGGGACATTTTGAAGGGGTTTAAACCAGTAATCAATGTAGTGATATTCATATTAAATTACCTTTTCAAATTAATTTTTAGAAACCATAATCCCTTCAATTAAACTTACAATCAGAATTTTAATTTATTAAACTGAAAAAAATACCAACTTTTACAGCCCAGATAGCTGTGATTAAAGACAATTCTGAATGATATTAGTTCCAATAAGCTTTATATTTTTAAAACCACTTAATGTAGAAGAGTGTGAAATTTCTTATTTTCTTCATAATTTTAAACTTCTAAACTTAAAGGGTGATTTTTGTGGGTGCTCTATGGTATCATCAAGCATGTAAAACAATTTTCCCAGAAAGAGGTTGCTAAAATTTTCAATAATATATTAATTTGTCATTCATTTATCATAATTAACTTTCATACTTAAGAAATCATATTCCAAAAAATCTTTCTAAGCTCTTGCAAACCTACAGTATTCATTACCAAAAATGAAGTTGTGATTTTGCCAGCTGGTTTCCAAATTCAGTCTGTGTCCAGTCAGTTTAAAATTAATAAGCAGAACGAGGACAAAATGGGACAAATTGTTAATGCCACTGTGTTATAGTTAGTAGTAGAACAATACCAGTGATTGTTTAGATTTTATATTTGTATTACTAATTGTATCTTATAAAAGTGCTTCTGTTGTATGTTTTTTTTACCTGTTGTAAAAAAAAATAAAAATATTTTTTAAAAGCTTAGAACAATCCTTAAATATTTACAAAATGTGTTTCAACATGCATATTTCACCACATCTTTAAGAAACATAAAATCCAGTTCATAGCTTAAACAGGAAATCCTCCAAACAGCATCCTTTCTTTAATTCTAATGGTTCAATCCTCAAATTACCACGTGTTTTACATATACATTGGCAGAATAACTTCTGATCTCGCTCTCCTAATGTAGGATCAAGACACTGTTCATAAGACACTCAAGAAAGTGCTTTTGCAATATCACAAACTTATTAAGTTTGTACTAGCAGCAAAAGTATTGAGCTTCCAGCTGTATGGAGCCCTGTAGCACTCTCTACAGAGAGGGTCCTGATTCCCAGCAACTTAGCTGTGAGTGCAGGCGCGGAAGGGTCTTACAGTGGCGTGAGTTACATTAACCTGAGTATCATAGTAAGTAAAAATTTATCCTAACGTCTTTGGGGCGGGAGGGGTTTAGAGCAACATCGGGCTGGTTGCAGAAACAACCCCTCTCCTGCCTCCCAGACACTGAGGAAAGTATTCTTGTTCTCTTCATCTACCAAGGGAATGGTGGGAAAGTCTGTGCTAGAGAGCATGTGGCTGTGTGTTGTCACTTGGTATTCAGCACAGGCAGCTAGGATTTAAACCCTCCTTGACCTTGAGACAGAGACTTTTACCCAGCAGATGGGACTGAGTTCGGATTTCAGATACATTAACCATTCATCATTACTTAGCTTGATGGAAGTATTATTTTTTTTCCCTCTGTTAATTAAAAGTGAGGGGGGAAAATCCTCGTTAATGCTGATTTTTCTGTCCAAACAGGTTGAAACGGTTCCTCAGACAACAGTGAAGACTGGATTACAGAAAGGTGAGTTTTATAATGTTGATTTTCATTTCCTTGATTAAAACAAGTTTTAAACAATTATTTGTACTTCATGTATTTTTGTTTGTCTCTGTAAATCATTGTTGTTGCTCTTCAGTCAATAATTTGTGTGAAATGGAAGTATTCCCCGGTGTGGGTGTGTGTGTGTGTGTGGGTGTGTATGACTTTTAGAGTTGATACTATTCTGTACCTCCATGTGAAAAGTCTTATTTGTTTTATGTAAATTGGAGAACACCACTTAGACTTGATACTGTTTCCAACTTTTCTCCATAAGGTTCTGGGGTTTCACTGGTTTATATACTAGGGATGTGACGAATCCACTTTTTTTGGTATTCGACTGAATACTGAATAGTACCTATTAATGTTTGTCAAACATGGACTATGACAAATCAGACAAGACAACCTGATTAAAAAAATATCTTGCCACATTTATTTTTACAGTGCTGTAAAATATTTTTGTAAATTAAAATGATTCATAGTATATTTATGGCCATTATTAGATGACCTTAATGCAAATCTATTTGAGATATGCACAAAGTTTAAGAAACCTTAAACTTATATTTGTATTTTCTGTGTGCAATTTGACTACAGTACAAACTCCATAGCATGATTCGTGCGTTTTTGGTGAGATCATTCAGACTGTATTTAATACCTGTAGTTTACTCTGGGCAAATTGCATTATTAAAAAATAAAAAACACCAGCCTCTCTGCATTCTCGGGGAGAAGTCTGCAGCGATGGTCTCCGTGGAGATCCTCAGCAGAACTGAACAGCCTCTCGGAGGGAACACTGCTTGGCGGAGCTCCAAGAAAAGACATCGCGATCGCTGCGAGATTAGGAGGCCTGATTGCGTTGTGTTTCCACCATTCCACAGGGTCGGCGGACCGGGGAGTGCAGGGCTCTGTCAGATTCAGTGACAGCTCCGTCTCCGCAGCGATTGAGGAAACTGTGGACTGAGATTCCTGTACAATTTCATCCCAGAAACTCCAGACTTGTAGTCTCCATGCAAGATTTCTTTGTCGGCGGCTCGATAAACAGTTTCTTTGTTTCCAATTTTGATTTTGCCAATCATCATTATTGGCATTTTCCTGACTGGTTTCTTCTTCAAGACTGAACAATTGCTTTAACATTCAAATGATTTTTTTTTTTTTTTTTTTGGTCTGAGCTGGATAGGTACAGCTTAAATCATGGGTCCAGCCTAAAAACCACCGTTTAACTTACACTGATCAATTTCAACATGGACTGTTTTTGTTTTTAAATAAAGCATCATTAATGCACATCTGCAGGGTTTTGCCAAACAGCCCAAACTGTGTACATTACAATAATTAAAAGCTTTTTTTTTTTTTTAATGTTAGTGCTGTTATCATGGAGAACAGTATGGCAGCTGTCTTTGGCAGTCTGTCATTTTTCTAGCATTTTCAGAAACTCATCGGAAATGGCGGTACCTGTGTTTCCCTTCGAAAGCCTCAGTACAGCACTCCTATTCCTCTGTTAAAACTCCTTGTTAATCCAGTGATCTTTTAGGCCAAGGAAATACTTTGTGGTGGTGTTCTGGGTCCATACACCAGCAATGAAGGAGATAGATTTGTGTACTTGTGTTTTTTAATCAGCGTTAACATGGGCAGGCACCCTCATTTATAGATGTAAGGAAACATTCAGTGAAAAACTTGTAGACTGGGATGTATAACGAGGTTCCAGTAATCTGAGCAGTCTAAAGAGGCCCACATCCTCCACCACAGAACATGGCTATGTACCAAGTGCTACTCTCACTCAGCCTGTTGCGGATCTTCATGGCCCTGGGAGACTTGTTTCTCCATGGTCTCTTCTGGACTGCACACTTCCACCATAGCTTGCTGGGCTGATCTAGATGTCTGTTTGTTGTATGGAAAATTTGGGGGAAATATCCAAAACACAAACTGTGGGTTGAAATATTAACCGTCTCCTTGGTTCCTTGGTATTCACCGTGCCTGATCTGCACATTTCATCGTGGCTGTTTCTGTATAGCCTATACTGCATTAGCCCAAGAGATTGTTGCTTTGTAACTTTTTGCACTATTGTTTTGGCTGGATTTGTATTACACACAGTTTTAAAAAAAAATTCCACACTATTCTCTGCCTTTTTTTTTTTTTCCATACATATTTCTTTCCGCACAAATTCCACATAGAGGCCTCTCATCCAGCTCTTCGTGATTTGGCTGCACTTGAACATTGATTGTGTGTTTACAGCCCTCAGCAATGTGCCTCCTACATGGCATGACGTGTAGATGTGCTGCAGCACTTGTTAATGGTCACAATAAATGACACTGCACCAAGGAGGTGTCAGATGAACAATTATGAACATCCAGAATTTATTTGGGGGGGAGGGGCAATATGCAACTAAATTGCAAAATTGGGGGGAAATGGCACTATCCGTGTACGAATCGAATACAAATCAGAGATTTGTCACATCCCTAATAAAAACAATTTGGAGATGTCTCTGCGACCATATTTGTAAGCTACATAGTGTGTTGGGTTTTATGTCTTCCCCCTCCAAATTGAATGGTTCTTTGGATTGCTCCAAACAAATCAGCTATCCTGTAGTTTTGGTAGAATTGGTTTTTAGGTTGGAACTTGGGCTGTGTTGACTGAGCTTTAGAACAGGAGCACTGCATTAAATGTTTTAATAGAGGGGTTGTAAACTAAATCACTGTGAGGAAAGTCAGAAGCTTATGAAGTTTTGACTCGTGACTTCAGTTGTTACAAAGGGAGCTCTGCTTTCTTCACACTACAGATGAGTTTGGGAAAAGAAAATATTCACAAAAAAAGTTAACAGAACAACCTTTAAGCACTATTTTAGGATTAATTTCGGTGTATTGTATTAAGGTGCCAGCGAGATTTCAGATTCCTGTAAACCTCTAAAGAAAAGGAGTCGCGCCTCAACTGATGTAGAAATGACTAGTTCAGCATACAGAGACACATCTGACTCTGATTCTAGAGGCCTGAGTGACCTGCAGGTAAATATGTTCAAGGGTCTGAGCACAGTGCCCTTTTTTGCTTTGCAAAACCAAGTAACATATATAATTGCTTTACTCAACTGCTGTGGGATCATGGGGATTTTTTAAATATTCACATTAAAGAAGGCATTGGTTTATTTTGTAATGGTGAGCATCTTAATTTTGCTAGTTTCTTACATAACAGAAGCATAGCTTATTTTTTATTTTAACTAGAGTTTCTCTCAAAACACCATATATAGTATCCAGGTGTTTTAGAAAGAAACGAAAGAGGTCATGTCCAGGTTTATTTGAGCAACTCCTACTAGGATCTTAATAGCACCTAACATTGAGGAATTTTTTTTTTTTTTAATGTGTTATGTTTTCCATGTAGGTAGGCTTTGGAAAGCAAGTAGATAGCCCTTCAGCTACTGCAGATGCAGACATTTCTGATGTGCAGTCCGTGGACTCAAGTTTGTCAAGAAGAGGCTTTGGAATGAGTAAGAAGGAGACTGTGTGTCAGGTAGGCAAGTGGCCTGTCCTATAGCTTGAAAGAACTGCTATCATACTCTGCCAATAATAAATAAATTTACCTTCTATTGGAAAAGGTAGCCTTTCTAAATTATGGTACTGGTTTAAAACAAGTTCTAAAAGCCATTTTGGGCTCTTCACTTTCTGAGTTGGAATATGTATTATTCATATGCAGATATAAATCTCCATTGGGAGATTGTGTTGTGAAATGGAAGTAAATGACAAGTGACTGATTTCAAAACGATTTTCTTAAAATTAAATTGGTATTAAGTTTTTAATGTATATTTACCCTTTTTGAAAAGTACTGCTTTCCCCTGTGAAAAAAAAGTATCTAGATTCCAAAAAAGAAGTCATAAAAGATTAAGTATGACTTTTAAACTATACCATATTGGGTCTGGAAATAGTTATCTAGTTCAGTGGTTTCTCCAGTGAGGGCCAAGGACCAGCAGCATCAGCATTGTCAGGATACTTATAAATGCATATTCTCTTCCCCCACTCCCACACTTCTGAATCAGAAACTATAAGAGAGGGAGGGACCCTGTGATCTGTGTCTTAATAGAGCCTCCAGGTGAATTCTGATGGCTGCTATTAAGTTTGAGACCCACTGCTCTTTGCTCTGTTGCAGATCTGTGAAAGCTCTGGTGACTCTCTGATTCCTTGTGAGGGAGAGTGCTACAAATACTTTCACCTGGAGTGCCTGGGGGTGACATCACTCCCCGATGGGAAGTTCATCTGCATGGAATGTAAAACCGGTGAGCTCCTTTGTTTTGGTAGATATGAAAAGATGGAGGAATATGCAAGCCAGCACCTCTCATGATATCTAATTTTCTTACTGCTATTATGTAGCTCTTACCCTTCTCTCCCATAGGTATTTCAACAAATGAAGATCATTTGGTGTTTAGGCTTTCTAAAATCAAAAGAGTAGTTAGCAATGTTATTACCAAATTTCCTTCTATCTGTGCTTTAATCATAAAAATCTATCAATTCATCTAGATTTACTTGTATTTTATCTAAAGAGCTATACAAAGTATATAGAGTAAGTTATTTTTCAAATGGATTTAAGATTTTTATGCTTAACAAATTTAAGTCCCTTGACTTTAATAGACTGGAGTGAGTGCTGATTGCAAAGCATAACCATGGTGACAGTACTTTTAGTGGAAACATGGAGCTACTGGAAATTGTTTTTAAAACTTCAGGGTTTTTGCCGAAACCGGTTTGGCTCAGTGGTAGAGTGTCGGTCTGCGGACTGAAAGGTCCCGGGTTCAATTCCGGTCAAGGGCATGTACCTTGGTTGCGGGCAAATCCCCGGTAGGGGGTGTGCAAGAGGCAGCTGGTCGATGTTTCTCTCTCATCGACGTTTCTAGCTCTCTATCCCTCTCCCCTCCTCTCTGTAAAAAATCAATAATATATATTTAAAAAAAAAAACAAAACTTCAGGGTTTTGGCCCAACTGGTATGCTCAGTGGTTGAACATCGACTCATGAACCTGGAGGTCACACACAGTTGGATTCCTGGTCAGGGCACATGCCCAGTTTTGCAGACTTGATCCCCAGTAGAGAGCATGCAGGAGGCAGTTGATCAGTGATTCTCTCTCAGTGATGTTTCTATCTTTCTCTCCTTCTCTGAAGTCAGTTAAAAATATTAAGAAAAATAAAATAAAACATGCGGGTTTTGGAGTCACTATTTATTCTCAACACCCCACCCCAATACACACTGCCAACCTATCAAAATAATTGATAGAGAAAGAAATAGACAAGTTTGTATTTCTTCCCGTGCAGCCATGATTCTATTTAAAGTCATGGAAAGCTGGAGATAGAGTTGTTTAATCTGTAACAAGGCAAGTGAAAAGTCAACTGAAAATAGCATGGTAGTGCATCCAGGAACTATGTAGTTTTTTGTTTTATTTTTTGCTGTGAGGAACTATGAGCCAACTGGTTATCAAGTATTTATGATATGCTCATTTTACCTGTGACACTTTATTTCTTCCTTTCTCCCTTTTTTTGGATTTTCATAAATAATTTTATCCTTTTTAATTTGATTTTATTCTTTATTTAAATCTGTGCATGCTAAAATCATTAGAATGCTAATATTTTTCTAAACACTGACTAAATGCCAGGTGTTGTTAGTACTAAGCATTTTATCCTATTTCTAGAGGACCAGTGCCCATCCTGTGCCTTCTCGCAGTCTGGGACCCCTCGCTCCTTACTGCTGGGCTCACTGTTACTTAACACTGCCGTGGAGGTGGAAGAGGCTCCTGCCACCACCACTGCCTCACCAGCTGTGAGCCAGGCTTCTGGCTGAGCAGCACTCCCCCTATGGGAGCACACTGACCACCAGGGGGCAGCTTCTGTGTTGAGCATCTGCCCCCTTGTTAGTGCACATCATAGCGACTGGTTGTTCTGCCATAATGGTCACATAGGCTTTTATTATATAGATCTCATTTTACCCTCATAGTAAGATATTTTTATTATTTTCATTTTGCAGAGGGTGAAACTAAGAATTAGAGGGTTTAGTTTAGGACCTTATCCAAAGTCTGAAAACAGCAATTGATAAAACTGACACCAGGATACTTGCTGTTTACCATTGCTTTTTACCATCTTGATTAAGTAGGATGGAGATCATGCATGTATCATATATTTTAACACACATGTGCTTTCTCACTCTAGCTCTTGCTTTCTCACAAACATACATATGCAAAACGTAAGCTATTAAAGTTGTTTTGAACATATAACATATTTTTTTCTACGTAAGACATTTTATTCATCACATGTAGACTCTACAGTAAAACATTTGAACAATTGGCTAACCGGCAGTCTTGGGGTCAAATTATCGGCACATTGTTTTATTTGACCTTCAAAATATGTTTTGAATGTGTGAACATGGATTAGGCATGTACTCCTAGTTCCTCACATTCTCTGTCATTCCCTTTTTCTAAAACCCTGCAACTCCGGTTATTTATATAACCTCTTCAGTCCCTTTAAACACTTAAGTTTGCAATCTCTGATTCTGACTACGATAAGAAGGACCCAGTACCTCCATATTAAAACATTCTTTTGAGGCTTCTCTCCTAACTTTGGAATCCAGCTGAATTCTGCCAAGGTTAGATATAAACTAAATTGGTACACATCTATTAAGAAATTTAAGAAAGAAATTTGCTTTAAAAATAATTAAATGGCCGAAACCGGTTTGGTTCAGTGGATAGAGCGTTGGTCTGCGGACTGTAAGGTCCCAGGTTCGATTCCAGTCAAGAGCATGTACATTGGTTGCGGACACATCCCCGGTAGGGGGTGTGCAGGAGGCAGCTGGATGATGTTTCTCTATCATTGACGTTTCTTGCTCTCTATCCCTCTCCCTTCCTCTCTGTGGAAACTCAATAAAATATATATAAAAAAAAAAAAGTTAAAAAAAATAATAATAATTAAATGGAACAAAGAGGATTCACATGTCCTGATTTCCAAATTTACTAAAAGCTACAGCAATTAAAACTGTGATACTGGCATAAAGACAGACATATACCCAATGGAACAGAATTGGAAGTCTGGAAATAAATATTCACATATACAATAATGATTTTTTGAGAAGGGTGCAAAGACCATTTCATGGGAAAAGGACAGTCGTTACAGCAAATGATGCTGGGAAAACTGGATATCAACATGCAAAAAGAATGAGATTAGAACCTTAACTAACAATCACATACAAAAAATAATTGAAAATGTATCAGAGTTCAAACATAAAAGCTAAAACTAAAAAACTCTTAGAAAGAAACAAAAGAAATGTTTGTGACATTGGATTAAGCAGTGATTTCCTGAGATGACATTAAAGGCACAGGCAACAAGAGAAAAATAAACAAATTGGACTTTATGGAAATTAAAAACTCAGTTGGTTGTCATCTTGTGCAACAGAAGGTTGCTGGTTCAATTCCCCATCAGGACACATATCCAGGTTTCCAGTTCCATTCCTGATTGGAGTGCGTGCAAAGCTATCCCATCAGTGTTTCTCACATCAGTGGTTCTCTTCCCTCTCCCTTCCTCTCTCTAAAAGGGAAAAATTTTAAAAAATCAATAAAATGATGTCTGTTACAAAAAACAACACAGTGTACATCAAATGACACTATCAACTGAGTGAAAAAGCTACCTGCAAAATGGGAGAAAATATTTGCAAATATCTGACAAGGAATTACTGTATTTTCTGGCGTATAAGACAACCCCCTAATTTTACAGTTAAAACATAGGTTTAGGCCTATATTCGCTGTATAAGACTGCCACCCACTTCAAAGAAAAGACTTACTTTGCTGTCAAGATCTGCAGGTAATTTTTGTGCAATTTTGGTCTTTTGCCCCCGATTTTCAGTTGACTTTTTTTTTTCCGTTTCAGAAGTTGTCTTATATGCCGGAAAATACGGTAATATCCAAAATTATACATAAAGAAATCCTATCACTTAACAAAAACCACACAACCCAATTCAAAATTAGGCAAAGAACTTGAATAGACTTTTCTTCAAAGAAGTTATACATATGGCCAGTAAACACATGAAAAAATGTTCATCATCATTCACTAGTAGTCAGGCAAACACTACTAATCAAAACCACAACTTCATGCCTATTAGAATGGCTATTACCAAGAAAACAGAATACGGAGAAATTGAAACACTTATACACCATTGGTGGGAATTTAAAGTGGCAGAAGTGCTGTGGAAAACAGTATGGCAGTTCCTCTATTAAACATAGAATACATATGACCCAGTAATTCCATTTCTGGGTATATACCCAAAATAATTGAAAGCAGGGTCTCTTAACAGATATTGTTATACCCATGTTTGTTGCAGTGCTATTCATAATGGCTAAAAGGTAGAAACAACTCAAATATCCATCAATCGATGAATGGATAAATAACATGTAGAATAGTAAACAATGGATAAATAATAAAATATTATTCGGCTTTAAAAAGAAATAAATACAGATATATGCTACAATATGAATAAACTTTGAAGACACTATGCCCAGTGAAATAAACCATTCATAAGGACAAATATTTTATTGTTCCACTTACTAGTATATGAGTTACCTGGAATAATCAAATTCATAGAGACAGAAAATAGAACAGTTGTTACCAGGGATTGGTAGGGAGAGAAGAGTGGTGGGTAGTCAGAGTGGGATGATGAAAAAATTCTGGAGCTGGATAGTGGTGATGGTTGCAAAATAATGTGAATGGATTTAATGTCACTATATACTTAAAAAGTAAAAATGGCATTTTTTATGTTTATTGGCTGTCTTTCTGCTTTCTGTAAATTGTTTATTCCTTTTTATCTTTTTTAATATGTTTTATTAAACATATTAAAGGAAGAAAGACGGATAGAGAGATAGAAACATCAATGAAAGAGAGACATCATCCATCAGCTGCCTCCTGCATGTACCCCTACTGGAGATCGAGCCTACAACCTAGGCACAGGTCCTGGCTGGGAATTGAACCTATGACCTTTTAGTTCCTGGGTCAGTGCTCAACTGTTGAGCAACACCAGCCGGGCTTATGTCTTATACTACAATTTAAAAAAACAAAAAACAGTTACTACTCTGGCCAGTTTTTCTCAGTAGTTAGAGCATCAGCCTGTCGACTAAAGGTTACCAGGTTCGATTCCCTGTGAAGGGCATGAACCTTGGTTGCAAGTTCCCCAGCCTAATAGGGGCGTGTGCAGGAGGCAACCAATTGATGTCTCTCTCCACCTGCCTCCCTTTCACTCTCCCTAGAAAGCAATGGGGAAAATGTCCTCTGGTGAGGATTAAAAAAAAATTTTTTTTAAACAAAAACAATCACAGTTGACCCTTAAACATCACAGGTTTGAACTATATGAGTCCACTTATATGCAGATTTTCCCCCCAATACTGATTCTTGGAACGTCTTTTAGAAATTTCCTTACCACCGTGAAGCAGTCATGTTAATTATACTATGCTACAATTAAGCAAGTGTATTGCTGTTTTAAAATATCAATGCAGGTGTCATTATATCTGCAAATAAATATAAATTTATTTTTCACATTAATCTGTCATCTTTTTGTTTTGTTAATCTTCACCCAAGGATATTTTCCCATTGGTTTTTGAGCTCTTTTTTATATCAATGCAAATATATTCAATTGCTGTTCTATAGTATGCCTGTGTCATAGTTTAACTATTCTGTTGGAGAAAGTTTGAAAAGCTTTCAGTTGTTTGCAGTTACAAACAGTGCTTTAATCAGCATCCTTTTACATATACAAGTCTATCCTAATGTAGAGAGTAAAACAAAATTTCTAGGCCGCAAAAAGTGAATGTACTTTTTAAAAAAATGGATTCTGCCTTGTTTCCTTCTGAAGTAGTTCCTTCCAACTTAAATTCCCACCAGCTCTATATAAGAGTATCTTTATTCCCTACACCTTCAACAATCATCAGACTTTTAAAGTTTGTTTCCTATTGATGAATTTTTACACTAAAATGTAACTTGTGGTTTTAATTAGCATTTCTCTGATTACTAGTGAAGTTGAGCATTTTTCATGTTTATTGGCTGTCTTTCTGCTTTCTGTAAATTGTTTATTCCTTTTGCCTGCTTATATTAGGCTATTTTGTTTCTATTTTGGTTGATAGTTCTTTATAAGTCTTCGCTTATATAGGTTGCATATATTTTCATTGTGTAACAAAATATTCCTTTATCATCTTTGTTGCATATATTTTTCCACATCTGTTTGTCTTTTACGTGTTCCTTTTTTTCCATACTAATTGGCATTGTTTCTTCCTTTAAATATTTGGCAGATTGACCAGTGGAGCCATCTGGGCTTAAAGTTTTTTTTTTGTTGGAAGATTTTTAATTATAGTTTCAATTTCTTTAATAGTTTATATAACTAATCATATTTTCTATTTGTTTTTATGCCAATTTTGGTAAGTTCTGTTTTTCTAGGAATCTGTTTACTTATTTAAATTGTGAAATTTATTGGCAATAATGTAGTGATCACTGTGTATTTTTTTAAATTTGTAGGATATGTAGTGATATATCATTGCTTATTTCTGATAGTTATATATATCACTACTTTTTCTTGTGTGTGTTTTTTATTGTTATTCATTGTTGCCAGAGATATCAGGGTTTTTAAAAATATGTTTTTATTAATTTTGAGAGAGAGAGGGAAGAAGAGGGACAGAGAAATAAAAATATCAATGAGAGAGAAACAGCAACATCAATTGGCTGCTTCCTGCTCAACGCCCAGAATCTGGGCATGTACTCTGACTGGGAATCAAACTGGCCAGCCACTTCCATGTATGCAGGTCGATGCTCAACCCTTGAGCACACTGGCCCGGCAGGAATATCAGTTTTATCTTTTTCAAAGTGCCAATTTTTTGTTTATTTTAGTATTTCCCAGTGTATATTAATTTCACTTCTTTTTGAAGAATGTTTTAAGTGGGTATGGAATTCTGGCTTGATAACAATTTTCTTCCAGCTTTAAAGATAGCATCCTGTTATTTTCTGGTTTTTATTTTTCTTTCAGTCAGCTATTTGTGTTACTGCTGCTTCATTGAAAATACTTGTCTTTTGTGTGGGTAATTTTAATATTTTCTCTTTTGTCCTTGATTTTGTACAGTTTGAATAAGATGTCTAGCTGTCTTTTGGGGGTAATTTTGAATTTTCATCTTATCCCTGTTTAATATATGTACATTTTAAGTGATTATTTAATGGAATCTGCCTTTTCTTTTGTAGTTTCTTTTACTTATTCTGTGTTGGAAAGACCTTGACACTCTCACCTCTCAGGTGTTGAAAAATTCTAGTCTGGGTTTTCTATGGAAATAATTTTAATGTAGAGTAAATGGAGATCTAAATTATTTATAATGCTACATCTCCAGATCCTATATAATAAAAGGCAAATATGCAAATAGACCAAAAGACAGAACAACCAGTCATTATGGCACACACTGACTACCAGGGGACAGACACTCAATGCAGGAGCTGTCCCCTGATGGTCAGTGCACTCCCACAGGGGTGAGCCTGCTCAGCCAGAAGCTGGGCTCATGGCTGGCAAGCGTAGCGGCAGTGGCAGGAGCCTCTCCCACCTTTGCTGCAGGCGGACATCCCCTTAAGAGTCCTAGACTGCAAGGGGTCACAGGCCAGGCTGAGGGGACCCCCACCCCCCAGTGCACAAATGTCGTGCATTAAGCCTCTAGTCAATTATAATAGCAAATCAGTCATTCTAACAATTTATTAAATATTTTAATTTAACCATTTATTTTCCATGTTCATCTTAATAGCTGCTTCTATTTTCAAAGGAATATGCTTTAATCGGCTTTTATTTAATCTCTGTCCCTTACCAATTTTCCAGGACAGCACCAATGTTTTTCATGTAAGGTATCTGGTACAGATGTGAAGCGTTGCTCTGTCGGTGCTTGTGGGAAATTTTATCATGAAGCCTGTGTCCGCAAATTCCCCACTGCCGTCTTTGAATCTAAAGGATTCCGCTGTCCCCAGCACTGCTGTTCTGCCTGCTCTATGGAGAAAGATATCCACAAAGCAAGTAAAGGTAAAACAAAGCTAAGGAAGGGGACAAAGTATTTAAGTTCAGTAGCAAGTAATAAGCATATTGTTATAAGGAGCATCAGGCATTCTCCTTCTGTCTGTAGATATATGAGCTCAGCTACAGTAGATAGCATAATAAGTAGAGATTAGGTTCTCATTCAGACAATGAGAAGAAAATTCCATATGTTCAAAATTACCCTTGGGAATTCCTTAAACAGCTGCCATATTGGAGACCACCATCTCTCCAACATCAGAGCAGATAAGTTTTTCTTTGATTTCTAGATGGATGCTACATGTAGGAGCCATATAGCATAAGAATGACAGAGCCAAACAAGTAGAGAAAATATTTTTATCTTACTATATTCAGCATTACATGGATCCCAAAAGAACCCAACTCCGAAAATTTCACTTTATGTATCCAGCTGATGCCTTATTATGTAGATTCCTTTCTTACTTTAAACAGGTCGCATGATGAGGTGTTTGAGATGTCCAGTAGCCTATCACTCTGGAGATGCTTGCATTGCTGCCGGAAGCATATTCGTGTCCTCCTACATTCTCATCTGTAGTAATCATTCCAAACGGAGCAGTAATTCGTCCTCTGCTGTAAATGTAGGCTTTTGTTTCGTTTGTGCAAGAGGTGAGTGTCAATCATTTCTCTTAGTTCTTTCTGAGTTCACTGGCATTAAAATAGAGTTTCAATAATATCCCCAAGAGAGATGAACATTTCCAGTAGGTAGCCCCTTTTTATATCATTAGACATTCAAATTGTTAGAATATTAATTCTTCCATAAATTAAGCTAAAGTCTGAATTTTTTAATAACTTAGAATTACGCATAAGTTCTTAGCATTTCTACTTGGAGCATCAAAAGATTAATCTATTTCCTTCTGCAAACAATTCTTCTCTTCCCAAGTCATATGCTTTAATCGAGAGCTTGCAACCTTCACTTTGGAAGGCAAAATGAGCACATTTATTTTTTAATCGTTTATGTTGTATTTTATCATGTTTTGGTCTGGCATTGAGAAAGGCCTAATGGGATACAGCCAAAGCAACATGTGGTGGTGTTAGTTAAGAGGCAGAAATGCAGGCTGTTGATATGTAGGTATGTCAGGAGATGGATCAACTAAAAACAATATTGTGTCCCTCCGGGGGGTCAGTGAGTTTGAGTTTGTGATAAACATAAAATAGAGCTTCATTAATTGAATATGATACAGAATATTTATCTTTTTGTTTTTTGTTTTCTTTAAGAGACAGTTCTTTTAATTTGGTGGAAGTACCATAAAATATTTTAAAATAGAAGTTAGGTAGTATTATAGATCTTGAATTGCTTTACTTTTGTGTCTCGCAATTTTAAAATAATAACTAGAGGAAGTGGGCGGTAAAAGTTTAAATAAATGGTATCCTTTCTGGAGCAGCCGGAGGGGTCCATTGTGTGTACTGCTTTCAGTGCCAGAGTTTTGTAAGCACGGGAGCTGTCTGCTGTTAGAAGGGAAGCATTGTTTCTTTCCTCACTAGAGCAATTACACAGTTGTATCCTTCTTTGAAACCTGGCTGGTACATGGAGAAGTAGGTTTGACATATTTTGTGCCTCATTGTAACAGGTGACTGAAACAATTCAAATAGTGAAAAGAAATAAATCCCGTCCCCAAGAAAATAATGATAGGATGGAAAAACTGACTTATCCAATTGAGTGGCTAGCTTTAGAGACCTTTAAACAGATGAGTGTCAATGAGAACATACAGTCTCTATTGCTTTGTTAGTATTTTATTCTATCTAAGCACTTTCTTTACTCATTTTTACCAGGAGTATGTGTCTTTCTTTTACTAGTTTGTATTTCTAGTAAAAGTGAGTAAAAGCACTTAATTTTACTTTTAGTCACTTTTACTAGTAGTGTGTGTTACTTATTTTTACTCACTTTTACTAGTTTTTGTTTCTGTTTGTACATGTGTAACTGAGCCAACATTTTAAATATCACGTTACTAACTCTCATGTTGACGTACTTGGGAGTACATTTTGAATCAATCAAGAACCATCAGTATATTAACCAGTATTTTCTTTAGCTCTATTTCATTCAGTAATTGGGGAACCTTTAAAACAGGTATTTTCAATTTAAGACAGGTAGAAAATGGCCCATTGTCAAGAAACCTTGTTATGTAGAAAATCTAGCCATTTTGTTAAATTTAACTTATATGCCTTCATTAAAAGCTTAAGATAATGGAAATAGGGAAAAATCCATGTTTTAATATTAGGATCTGTATTTGCATCTTATCAATTTGGCAATTATTCTAAAGTATTGCTATATTTAAATGTCCACTTAAGCAAGATTATTTAATTCCCCAAGTATTTTAACTAGGACTTTATCCAGTAAATGGTAACTTTCATTTTCCTTTCCAGAATTTTACCAAAACTTATCTAAATCAATCAAATGTTGGGATTTTGAGACGGCTTAAAAGTTTTTCAGAAATACATAATATGTGTTATTTATTCATTATTTATCTTATACAGTTTTTCCCTCCTCTGAGAGGATTTTTCTTAGTTCTTGGTTATTGCTTGTTTAAAATCATTAACTAATCATGAGCTAATTCTTTTTTTTTTTAATATATATTTTATTGATTTTTCACAGAGAGGAAGAGAGAGGAATAGAGAGCCAGAAACATCGATGAGAGAGAATCATCGATCAGCTGCCTCCTGCACACCCCCCACTGAGGATGTGCCCGCAACCAAGGTACATGCCCTTGACCGGAATCGAACCCGGGACCCCTTCAGTCCGCAGGCCGACGCTCTATCCACTGAGCCAAACCGGTCCCGGCCATGAGCTAATTCTTAAGGACACAACTATCTAGAAATGTTTTACGGTTTGCAGGAGTGAGGAATGTATGGCCCGAGAAATCATTTGGTCTGGCTTTGCCAAGCCATTAGGGGTGAGATAATTAAATGTTTGACCAAATAGAGCAGGCTAATTTTTAAGCTGATAATTTTGTATGGCCTGGGAATGGTATTTCAAATATCCAAATGGTTTGCAGAAAAAAGGTTCCCCATTCCTCCTCCCTTGCACTCCCCATAGTGTTTAGAAAATATTCAGTTAGCCGAAACCGGTTTGGCTCAGTGGATAGAGCGTCGGCCTGCGGACTGAAAGGTCCTGAGTTCGATTCTGGTCAAGGGCATGTACCTTGGTTGCAGGCACATCCCCAGTGGGGGTTGTGCAAGAGGCAGCTGATCAATGATTCTCTTTCATCGATGTTTCTAACTCTCTATCCCTCTCTTCCTCTCTGTAAAAAATCAATAAAATATATTTTAAAAGAAAAGAAAATATTCAGTTACATTTTAGTGTCATAAACAGGGTGGGCAAAAGTAGGTTTACATAATACAACAAGTAATACAATAATTAATAAATAATAATACAAGAATAAACTGTGTTTTGCATACTCCCACCTGTAAACCTACTTTGCCCACCCCTGAATATTACTGGGCATCTTCATCTGGAGGTTGGTGTAAAATAATAGATAACTTCTGTGCCTTTCTTTGTAATGGTAATTTTAAATGGAGAAGTTAGATTTGGGTTTTCTTTTGATTTTAATAATAGCAATTTATTTTGCATCTGTAAATCAAACTACTAGATATTATCTGAACGAATTGCCACAATTGCCCTAAGAAGTTATTTCCTCATTTTATGTGGATGAGAACACTGAAGCCCAGATGAAATATTTACAAGTTGTTAAATAGAAGGACCATGTGTACCTGATCTTTCTTATTTTAAAACCCACGTTTTTGGGGGTTTTTTTTACACCAACTTTTTCTATTAAATGTATGAAATTTATTTGACACTATATGCCTTTTATTACCAGTTAGCAATTTCAAGTTCCATTCTGTCATCTGGATCAGAGATCTTTTTAAATATCTCAATATACAGTAGTACTAATGAAGATAAGATCCACAGAAAAAATAAATGGTATCCCTTTAAAAAATAAAACTTTTTCCTCTTCTCAAAATGATCTCTATGAAACTGTTGTCATGATTTTATTATAAAGTGCTAGATCATTATAATCTGACCAATAATCAAATAAGAGAAATTTTCCCTGGTCTCACAGTTCCCCAGGTTTAGGAGTGGCCTTTATGTTATGAACTTAACTAAGTTAGGGGAAGGGAAATGGGAGGGAAAGAAGTGGATGTCGCAGGTGGGTTAGAGAGGATCTTACTCCCTCAAATAAGATAGCTGTATTGGTAAATCAAAAGGGCTCTTTATAAACCTTTAAAGTTGTTAATCACTTTATATCATGGCATAGAAAAAATAGCTTGTATTACCTTAGTAAAGTTCAACAAAGTATGTCCCCTTTAAAATCACATATTGTATTGATAGAGAAAAGCTTTATTATCTGGCAGAAAAAGCTAGAACCTGTTTGAGAATATATAAAACATGAATAGGGAAGAGTAGAGACTCATTTCTTCCTTTATATTATGGATATAGTTCTTATTTCTAGCAATTAAGTGATATGTTATTTGTTCTCTGGATTGTCATCCAGTACTTCTAAATATATAGTACTTCTAAATATTAAGGAATGTGGTTTTATTTTTCATAGAGAGTTTTTCATATGATGTTAAATGCAGTTTACATCTTCAAAATTAATTTGGCATTTTCTTCTGGGTATATAGGTTTCTACGTAGGGAATAAGGCATTGAGTTGCTTAAACTCCCTCTAATAACTATAGATAGTTTTTTCTGTCAGATCTTTCTTTTTCTTCATACTTTCTTTTTTCCTCCCAACTTTAAGCACAGCTACATAATAGGGGTTGGTTTATTTTTTCTCCTCATGGAATCATGGGTAGTTTCATTGCAGTTCATCTCTTTCTGTTTGTTTCGTATAGGGCTAATAGTTCAGGATCATTCAGACCCCATGTTCAGTTCATATGCCTATAAATCCCACTACCTACTGAATGAATCAAATCGTGCAGAGTTGATGAAATTACCTATGATTCCTTCTTCGTCAGCTTCCAAAAAGAAATATGAGAAAGGTAATAACCAAAATAGTTTATCTCCTGCTTTCATTTTGCATTTCCTTTTTTTTTTTTTTTTTTTAATGAAGGGGGGAAATGTATGCCTGTCAAGCACCATCTGTTGCTTTTCTACCTTGGTGGTTGTAACTGTCTTCATATGGCTGCAAATTTATTAAAAAGGGCTTAAAATAATTCCATTTATTGCAAATTTTTACTTACTTTTCTTGAATACATTTTCACACATTTCATATATGTAGGGGTTATTAAAATTGAAAGACTCAGATTTTGCTTAATGTAGAGAAATATTCTAAGGGCTCTTTCTCTTTTGCTCTTGTAGAACTAACATCCATGTTAGAATAGAATAGACACAATATAATTTGTTACTAACTTTTAACTAAAGAATAGGTTGTTAATTAGAGGGAAATAAATATACTGATACTTAAAGGTTTTATTTTAGAATACAGTCTATCATTTTGTTTCTAAAATGTTTTGTTCAGTTGCTATGAAAATTAGTTGTCCTTCTGGAGGATACCCCAAATATTGGATATTGAAAGGCAGCCCAGCTGAGCTGAAAATTTGCTTATGGATAATCTATTATCCACAGAATCAGGCGCTACATGTATATTTATATTCTTCCAGTTAATTTAGTCTGTGGAAGAAAATCTTATTCTATGTTTAGCTTCACATAGCATACTTATAATAAAGTTGAAAAGTGATTTAACAATAATGTATTATTTGGGAAGTTACTATCTCAGCAAGTAAATTATTAAATAACCTGGAAGGTGAACACCTTTTCCTGTTTGCATTGCCATTATGATCTGGGGGCCAAGTGCAGATTCTTTAAAGAAAAGTTAATTCATACCTAATACACTGTGTACATTGGAAATTGGCCTCCTTTTTTTCCCTTTGTGTTGCCTGCTTCATGTATCTTTGTTTTTTGTCAGAATTCTTAAGTGGCAACCCACGACTGAAAGGAAGTATAACTAAGCAAGTTGATTAGAACCTAATGGAGAAGTAGGTTGGAGAGGTATTGGGTTTTTTGTTTGTTTTCCATTGAAGTCACCTTACTGGTGACACCACCTATTTCCAAAACAAAGATGGGCCGAGGCTTGACTAACTTCATAATGCAATAATATTAGACTGCCTGAGACAGTTTAGGAAATGCCTTATATTCCTGCTGGTGCCACTGAAAGGAGATTAATTCAATTGTTGCTTATTTTGTTTTCAGTACTTGGTATTAACCTTGACATAAATTGAAATTATTTTGAGCCCTCTTTTTGCTTAGCTTGAACCACATCTTTTCTTGCATCCTAAAGCAGTTTTCTTGCATAGCACCAAGGTGAATTCTTCATATTTTTATTTTTCTATATCCCTATTTTTCTGTTTTTTATTTTTGTCAAAAAATCATGATGATTTTCACTGATGATTCTCAGTCTGTATTTCCTCTGAAATAAGACTTAAAATTCAGGACTATTCCATAACATTAAAAATGGCAAGCCTGACTCTCCCCATCAGCTCTAATAATGACATGCCCTCTGAAAGCTATTTGCGAAGGCTGTTCTCTCTATTGGTTATTTCTTTCTGTTGTAAAATGGGCTTTCTCATTTTAGTTTAAACTTACAGAAGAATTCCTAGGCTAAGAACACTCAGACAGCTAATCTCTAGGTTGGGAATTGGAACTATTAATCCATATTGAGATTTGCAAACAGAGGAACAAATCCCAATGATTGAAGAAAAAGCTTTTAAGCAGAGGAAATATAGTAATTTAATTCATCACTGATTGTATATGGATTTTTCTTTTTGTTTTTATGTTAATCAGAAGTTTGAATGTCTGCAGTAAGATAAGATTTTCTGGAAAATTGATAGCTAACCCTCAAAAGGTTGGAGCATGTGATTTGATAAAGTTGTATAGAAGGCTCCTAACCTTTAGCTAATGAGACTTTAAATCTTAGTGTACTTGTGGGTTATAGACCTGATTTTCCAGTGGGAAGATGATGTTTTTGCAGTAAATGTCTTTATCATATTTCATCTTCAGTAGTTAACATTCTTCTCCATCACTTGTTGAAATGCCTGTTAGAAATATCTAATCTTCCACTCCTCCATCTCTTTCATTTCTTTGCATTTAGTAATATTTTGTTTTGTTTGCCACATCTGTTTTGGTCTTAATCCAGAGATCATTTTATGTATTTCAAAGGAGAGGATTTTCCTAGACAAGTTGGAGGGATCTCCTCGCGTGTGGTACTTCATTCTACGCTGATATTTACTTTTTATACTATAAAGCAGTGGTTCTCTATATGAAGTCAGAAAAGACTTATGTAAATAAAATTTTTAAACTAAATATTTCAGAAAATCTAATAGAAGCACACAAAATACAACTGCATGAGTCTTTATATTTGGCTATGATTTAAATATTATAGTGTGATAATGCTAGTTTTGTTATTGGATTCAGAAGCTCTAATTGGCAGTTATATATTTCTTTGGTTAATAACATAGAAAAATGTTATTTTTTAATGTAGGGCCTTGTTTTGGTGTTTTTATTTTTGGTTGATAATATATTTGGAAGCATATGGGTTCATGAGTGAAGAGAAGGGGATCCTTGGTGATGAAAAAATTACAAACCACTGCTCTATAGCTTGTTTGACTTTGTTTATCTTCACTAAAAAGGTAATGATGATGTATGTAATCATCACCTTGAGCAAGTGAAATCTTTTTGTGTTTCTGTACCCCTTTATGGGCAGTAAAAAGTGCTGATCAACCTATTGCCTAGTTTCATTCTTGCTAATTTTATTATAAAGTGATTTTAGTCGACTATGGCACTGGATTAAAATACAAAGATGACCATTGCTTGCTTTCTTAGCTCTCAAGGAGAAAAGAAAGTAAGCTGCTACATATTTCTTAGAAAATCTGCTCTCAAATTTACTCAGTCTAAAAATTTAATACACCTATTTTGTCATATTTTAAGAGTTTTATCTTCCTACTAAACTGATAGCTCAATAGCCCACGTTTTACAGGGGTAAGGAGTACAATAATGTTTCTCTTCCTATTCAAAAGCTGAGTTTCTGGCCATTGAAGTTCTGAAAAAGGGAAGAAGCTACATCTGTTCATTTGCTTTCTATTTTAATCCATCACCATAGATATGACTCCATCCTTTGTTATTTTCCCCCAATTTGAATCAAAGTTTATGCACTTAAATGATAATTTTCTCCTTTTTCTTTCTTTTTCTCTTTCCTCTTTTCTCAGTTATTAAGACTGTTTATTTGTTTCAAGGTGGAAGATTGCTCTGCTGTGAATCGTGCCCAGCTTCCTTCCACCCAGAATGCCTGAGCATAGAAATGCCAGAAGGCTGCTGGAATTGTAATGACTGTAAAGCTGGCAAGAAACTGCATTACAAGCAGATTGTTTGGGTCAAATTGGGAAATTACAGGCAAGTTTTTCCAAGGACAAAGAGGAAGTATTCAATCATTTAGACCTACGTTCATAAACTGTGTACAAACTGGCTAGCAGACAGGTGGAACAGCAGAGCTACTTCCTTTAAAAGAGAGAGAGAGAGAGAGAGAAGAAACATATATTTATTTTATTTTTAAAATATTTTTTGCTGAAACCGGTTTGGCTCAATGGATAGAGCGTCAGCCTGCGGACTGAAAGGTCCCAGATTTGATCCTGGCCAAGGGCATGTACCTTGGTTGCGGCCAAATCCCCAGTAGGGGTATGCAAGAGGCAGCTGATCGATGATTCTCTCTCATCGATGTTTCTAACTCTCTATCCCTCTCTCTTCTTCTGTAAAAAAATCAATAAAATATATTTAAAAAATAAAATATTTTTATTGATTGTCAGAGAGGAAAAGAGAGGGAGAGAGAGAAAGAAACATCAGTGATGAGAGAGAATCATTGATTGGCTGCCTCCTGCACACTCCCTACAGGGGATTGAGCCCACAACCTGGGCATGTGCCCTGACCGGGAATCAAACCGTGACCTTCTGGTTCATAAGTTAACTATCAACCACTGAGTCACACCAGCCAGGCAAGAAACATATTTTGAGTCTGGGTTTTTACAAGATTGAGAAAGTTAGTTGTGAAATTTTTTTTTTGTTTTATTGGTTGGTTGGCTTTTGTTTTTAAGCTCCAAAAGTTGTTTTATACTAATAAACTATGTACTACTAGATTTTGGAATAAAAGGTGTTATGTGGTAAATGGAGAAGATGTTTTCTTTGTGCCCTAATTAGCTTTATATTGATCTGTGGTTCTAATAAAAACAAGTTTTTCCCTGGCCAAAATAGCTCTCTTTGCCCCTTAATCTGGTCCATATTTAACCTGTGTGCAAAGAGAGAGATTTTTAGGATTTAAAGAGAGAAATTGTTTCATTAACAGCCTTTAGCTCTTAAGAGAATAAGAAGTAGGCATGATTACTATTATTTTAATAAAACTTTCTCCTTTTAAGAAGCCTGTTTTTTTATACAAGCCTTCACTGCATAGGAATAGTGATGTATTTTTAAAACTTTGCAATCTGCATTTTGAGGGATAAGTTTATTGTTTTACTAAGAAAATAGATACTGTTCAAGAGAACACAATAGAATTCTATTTTTCAATTAAAGTCCTAAATAAGATATATTTCTATATCTATTTAACTTTAAAAACTTTGTTATTTAGCTGAGTAAGTGGCATTGAGGTTGAGTAGCCCTCCCACTGTTTTTTTAATATATAACAAGAAATCTCCAAGTCCTAAAAAGATGGACAATTTGAATACATAAACAATTTTATACTGTATGGCAAACGACATTATAAAGTTTTAAAAAGCACATGTCAAACCAGGATAAAGTGTTTGCTTTTCTACTTTCAATAAGAAAAGACAAATATCTTATGTTGGGTGTGTGTGTGTGTGTGTGGAGACGGCGAAGAAGAGAAAGAGCCAGTTTGCAAAAGAATAGCAAATGGAAAAATAAACATGGAAAATGCTCAGCCTCACTAAAAAATAAATGTTCGTTAAAAACAGAGAGGTTTTTTCCCTCCCTCTTAACAGATTGGCAAAGATATAAAAGAGTAATAATTTTGCGGCTAGAGAGGGCATAGGGAAATGAGTATTAAAATTGTAACTGTATACTCCTTGACTCAGCACTTCCCTTTCAAGAAATTTATGTAAGGAAAAAATGTATTTGTTGAGGTATTCATTGTGGTGCTATTTGAAATAACCCAAATACTCAGTCCATAAGGGATTTGTCAAATAAATTATATGATACCCGTATTGTAAAGTATCTTGAAGGCAATAAAAGAATAATGCAGGGCTGTATAGTAACATAGGGAGATACTTGCTATTTAGAATTTAGAAAACATGTTAAACAATATGTACATTATCTTTCCATGTATTTATATAATTTTTTTAAATTGTAGCTCTAGATGTAATATGTTTTTAATACCTGGAAAGAAACCTATCTAATGTTAATAGTGCTAGGCATGAGATTACAAGGAGAAGCATTTTCAGTTTTTCTGTTATACATTTGCGCATTGTTTTATTTTTAAAATAAACACTGCTTTTATAATTTATATATATATATATATATATATATATATATATATATATATATATACTCAATATATAAATGGGAGTGGAGAGACATGGGTTTGACAATTACTAGATACATTCCTGGATAACAAATATCTAAAACAATATAAGAAACATTTAGCTCTTCAAGTAAATTTTAGAATATTTTCTGTATATTTAATTTTATGGGGAGCTTTTTTTGAGATATTGCTGACATATTAGTTTCAGTTGTATAACATATTGTTTCAGGATTTGTATATAGTATTGTGAAATGATCACAATAAGTCTAGTTAACATTTATCTCCATACATACTTATAATATTATTTTCTCCTGATGAGAATTTTTAAATCTACTCTGTTAGCAACTTTCAAAAATATAATACAGTATTATTAACTATAGCCACCATGCTGTACATTATATATTTTCTTTTTTAAGAAGTTGTGAGTGTGAAAAGATCTTTGCCTTAACTTAAATACTTGAGTTTTAATTACATTGCATTTAAAGAACCCCAAAGCATTTCTCCAGTTCAAAGCCCAGTGAGATTTATATGCAGGTCAAATTCTTCTTGTATGTTCTGCAAAGACTTCCATCCATGAACTAAGTCTTAATATATTTTTTCCAGTCAGGCCTAGCTGGGTCACATGAAGCTGTTTCTTTTCAGTATCTAGTTGCTCCAGTGTACAGCTTCCTGGGGGAAATATGAGGACGTGGGACAACCTCTGGCACAGACCCCATGAATGTAGTCCTTATGTACATACTGAAATGCCTTTAAATGGTTTAGAAATAGCCATTTCCTCGTCCACTTTAAGGGAAACCAAACACTGATTACACAGAACAGTGCTTTTGTTTGAACAATTTGAGCACAGGCTCTTGCCTGTGTTTTTCATTCATTCTTAGATGGACAGCAGGTACATTTTAGATGAAGCGTGTTCAGATTCTGCCCTATAATCCTGAGAATGTAGCCATGCTGTCATTTATCTTCTAAATAATACAATTGTTCATTAGATAAATGGCTTTATTAGGCACCTATACAATAAGTGACTGACAAATTTTAAGTTTTTGTATGTTTACTGTTCATATTGATGGTTTTACATACTACAAAAGCTCCACCTTTGAATTTCTGACTTGCCCAATTGCTGGAAATTGTCACATGCGCCTCACAGATGGTTTCATTCAGAGATTGCTATGGTTTCAGTCATCATGGCATGAAACAGTTCTGTTTCATTCTGTCCCAAAGTCCACGTTTATTGTGATCCAAGATGAATTAGATTTTGAAATACACTGATATAAGTCTTTTTGGTACATTTGACCAAAAAGTATTTATTCTGAGTGAATAGAGTCAGAAAATAATAATTTGAATGGGAATGGTCATTCTTTACTGTAGCATCAGTTTATTCTGAAATGAGCCCCTGGACTACTAGAAATAAACTTTTACACCTTGGAGGACGATGTTGATTTAAAAATGCCAAGTTTGGAGAAAAACAACTTTTTTAGGATAGAAATTTGGTTTGGAATGATATTGGTAATTTCTAATTCTTAAGGTGGGTCGTGGATTAAGTATTTTATTATGCTTTATAGCTTATATTTCCATGATATATATTATTTTACAAATATGAGATATTTTTAAAAGAAAGTCGCTAGATTGGGTGTTTATGGCCTAGTTTCACTATTTCATTAACAAATTCATTAACCAATATGATTTTAAATGTTGAGTGGTTTGAGCAGGATTAAAGATAATCAGGGTATTTTGTGTCCTTAGAGTTTGAATGAAAATGTCACGGTACAAAATCTCTTATTCCATCCTGCCAGCCATGTAAAGAATAGTCTGTTTTTTATCCCTTTGGCCTAAAATTGTTTTTGTTTTCAGATGGTGGCCAGCAGAGATTTGCAATCCCAGGTCTGTGCCACTGAACATCCAGGGCCTTAAGCATAACTTGGGGGACTTCCCTGTGTTCTTCTTTGGTTCTCATGACTACTATTGGGTGCACCAAGGCAGAGTGTTCCCTTATGTTGAAGGAGACAAAAGCTTTGCTGAGGGGCAGACTAGTATTAACAAGACCTTCAAAAAAGGTAAGTTGGATGATGTTTATGATGACTCAAAACTAAGACTCCAGAGTTGATTTCTCAACATCTTCCACCTCGCATATGACATACTTCTGGTAGTAGAGAATTTTCACCAGGTAACCCCATTAGAACCATGTCAGAATCTAATCAGTTATAAAAATAATGTTTTCGGTTTGGTAGGCTCTGCTGCGTGAGTGAGTGGAGTTTCTTCAGTGATCTTTCTAGACATAGATTTTTCTGGAACAGTTTCCTTAATCACTGAAGCTCCTTTACCACTGAAGAGTAACAGAGCTTCCCATGGAGAGCCTTACAACTGGTTCTGCAACAAGGTACAGGAAGTTGGCTTTCTGGGCAAGAGCAAAGTGAATTTAAAGCTAGTGCCAGGTGAAAGGCTCCCCTGGGGTTCACGTGGAAGCCTCTGATCACGGAAGCAGAACCTCATCTCTGAGGCTGCAGCTTGCATAGAGCAGTGTTCAGCCAACAGTGAGTCATATCCTATTTCAGTGCTACCCTGTCCTGGTGGTAAGTAGTTATTTCCAGAAATGATTTTTAAAAGAAAAAAGCGGCCCAGTTCAGAGCATTGGGAAGGCAGAGTAGAACTGCTCTCCCAACAGGTATTGTTTGTTTGTTGGCATTTATATACTTTGTTTGGTCTCATTGGCAGCTCTGGAAGAAGCTGCAAAACGTTTCCAGGAGCTGAAAGCACAAAGAGAAAGTAAAGAAGCACTAGAGATTGAAAAAAACTCGAAAAAACCTCCTCCTTACAAACACATCAAAGTGAGTCTCTTCCCTGAGATTGGTATTGGACGGGCAAGATGAAGTGTAGTATTCTCTTAGTAGTGAGAGTCTTTTGTAAAACAAACAGAGCTTTTTAGCAGTGTCATAGTCAGATGGGAGCGGGAGCTGTGTTTTGTGGGGATGAGGTCTCCGATAAGCCCTCTGGCACCTGGGAGTGACGTGTTTGATGGGAAATCCTGTTCCTGCTCTACCAGGTTATTCTGCCACCAAATGAGAATAGAGAGGTTTGCCCTTTCGTCCAGATAGTCCATAGTTGTTTTTAGTTATGAATTTTCCAACTAGTAGAAGGAGAAATACACTGAACAGATAAATGAGAATTCACATCAGTTTTTGGTATTTTTGCCAACTAAGAAGCAGTCCTTATTCTTAGTTTATTTATGGGGAAATTGCTATTACGATAACGAGCCTTTCTTAGTCATGCTGCAAGGCAGTAGCAGAGCCAAGAATAGCTTGGAAGTTTCGGGTGCTCTGTTTAAATTCCTCCTCCTCATCTGTGATTTTGTTTTCTAGGCTAACAAAGTCATAGGAAAGGTGCAGATCCAGGTTGCAGACCTGTCAGAGATTCCCCGCTGTAACTGCAAGCCAGCCGATGAGAACCCTTGCGGCTTGGAATCCGAGTGCCTGAACAGAATGCTGCAGTACGAGTGTCACCCGCAGGTGTGCCCCGCCGGGGATCGTTGCCAGAACCAGTGCTTCACAAAGAGGCTCTACCCTGATGCAGAAATCATCAAAACGGAGCGAAGAGGCTGGGGCCTCAGGACCAAAAGGAGCATTAAGAAGGTATTGTGGGACAGGGCACTGGTGATCAGAACCAGATCAGGCCCTGTGCCTCTCAGAGAAGCTTCAACGGGGATGAAATGTATGGTGATCCCTGGCGGAATCCTGAAATTTCCCAAGTTGAGAGTTTGGCATTTCTTTAGCAAAGAAGCTATAGGAAGTGGTAGTGATAAAACATACGAAAATTTTGGTTGTCTTATGATCAGTCATAAAAAGGAAAAGGGACAATGGTCATTTTCTGTCTGAAGTATTTTTTACTTGTTAATCAAAGTAGACCTAGATGTAAAGACCTAGTAAAGGCAATAGCCAGGACTTTGCTCCAATGTCTTAATTCATTAGCTATGAAACTGTGGCCAAGTCAGTCAGCCTCCCTGAGTGTCAGTTTCCTCATCTCTAAAATAGACATAGTATTCCCTGCCCTTCACATTGCTGCTAGTCTCAAATTAGATCATATACCCAAAAGCAACCAGAAAAAGTTCAGTACTTTAGGCAATTTTTCAAAAGTCCCTTTGTTTAACACAGAAATGCATTGTCCACTGCAGAACATTTTCTAAATACAAATAACTCAAAGAAAAAAAAAAATCACCAATATATCCTACTGCTCAGAGGCTCTCAAACTTTAGAGATTCTCAAAACCTCCCAAGGTCGTCGTCGTCATTGTTATTATTATTATTATTATTAATCATCACCTGAGACTATTTTTTCATTCATTTTTAAGAAGAGTGAAAGAGAAGGAAGGACAGAGAGAAACATCAACGTGAGAGAAACACGTTGATTGGTTGCCTCCTGCACGAGCCCTGAGCTCTGTCCAGGACCCTGCAACCAAGGTACATGCCCTTGATTGAAATCAAACCCAGGACCCTTTGGTCTGCAGGCCAATGCTCTATCCACTGAGCCAAACCAGCTAGGGCCTGGGGTCCTTAAAAACAGTATCACCCAGATATATCTGGGACAGTATATTCTGCATTTTATAACAAGTTCCTGCCCTGCCCCCCTTTTTATCTCCTACCCCTGCCAAATGCCAATATATAGAACTTGGAGATATATTCATTGAGAGAGGTGGACCTAGTGAGAATTAGTAATTAACTCTTTTTTTTAAATATATATTTTTTTCTTTATTTCAGAGAGAGGGAGAGAGAGAAATATCAATGATGAGAAATAAATATTGATCAGCTTCTTCCTACATGCCCCCTACTGGGGATCAAGCCTGAAACCCAGGCATGTGCGCTGACTGGGAATCAAACTGTGACCTCCTGGTTTATAGGTCAGTGCTCAACCACTGAGCCACACCACCATGCTGTAATTATTTCTACCTTTTAAAGAATCACCTTTGGCTGAATCCGGTTTGGCTCAGTGGATAGAGAGTCAGCCTGTGGACTGAAGGGTCCTGGGTTCCATTGCAGTCAAGGGCATGTACGTTGGTTGCAGGCACATCCCCAGTAGGGGGCGTGCAAGAGGCAGCTGATTGATGACTCTCATCAGTGTTTCTAGCTCTCTATTCCTCTCCCTTCCTCTCTGTAAAAAATTAATAAAATATATATTTTTTAAAAATAAAAAAAATAATAAATCACCTTTGTGATTAAAAAATACCACATAATGTAGTAAAGAAAATCAATACAAGAAAGATATTCCTCCTTCATCCTTCAATTATTGGTCTCCTCACAAAAGATGACTATTGTTACTAGGTTGATATGTAGCTTTTTAGGACTTTTTCTGTGTAGTTGTAAGTATTAACACATATGCAAATATACAATCATATATTCTATATTTGTAGGGTTTTTAAAACAAATATAATCATACATATTTCTCACTTAACATATCATACATACATTTTTATAGCAGTACGTAGAGATTTCAACTCATTATTTTTTAAATTTTTCTTTTCTTTTTTTTTTTCAAATACACTCTCATTGATCTTCCACAGAGAGGAAGAGAGAGAGACAGAGAGCCAGAAACATCGATGAGAGAGAAACATCGATCAGCTGCCTCCCGCACACCTCCCACTGGGGATATGCCTGCAACCAAGGCACATGCCCCTGACAGGAATCGAACCTGGGACCCCCCACTCTGCAGGCCGATGCTCCATCCACTGAGCCAAACCAGTCTCGGCTTCAACTCATTATTTTTGTTTTTTCAATTCATTCTTTTTGTTAAACTCACTGTATTTCATAGTAAAATGTACCAAATTATGTACCATAATTTATATAACCTATTTTCCAATACATGCATGTACACACATACACATTTACAGATTTTTTAAAGTTCTGTAGTGAACTTTCTTGGTCATCTCTCTTTATGCACGTGTTTCTATAGGTTAGATTGCTTATGAAGAAGCTCATTCATTTGGTTCATATTTGTGAAGCTTCTTCAATGTGCCAGGTACTATCCCAGTACCTGGAAAAACAGTAGTGAACAAGACAAATAATAAACAGATATCTAATGCCGAGTACCACTAAATGCTGCAAAGAAAACAGCTGTCAGAAGGGATAGCGGGTGACTGGGATTGCTACTTTAAATTGATTGGCTAAGGAAGGCCTGAGGAGGGGACATTTCACCTGAAATGGGAGGGAGAAAGTCACAAAGATAAGTGTTGAGAAGAGTATTTCAGACTAAAGTAAAACAAATACAAATGCCTTAGTATGTTCCAGCAACAACAACAAAGCACCAGGAGAAGAAAGGCAAGGAGAAGAGTGGCAGGTGGGGATAGGAGAGAGGCTAGATCATATGGGCATTACAGGATGGGAAATTTCTGGAGCATTTTAGTAGGGACTGACTTGATCTGATACTTGATGTATTTGTTTTCTATTGCTGCATAACCATGTTACCACAAACTTGGCAACTTAAAATGTAACACATATCTGATTATCTCACAGTTTCTGTGGGTGAGGAGTCTGGGCAATGCTTAGCTGGGTCCTCTCAAGGTGCAGTCAGGGTGCTTCCCAGGGCTGGATTCTCACTCATGTGCCTTGGCTAAGCAAGGATCCACTTCCCTGCCTGCATAGCTGTTGGCAGAATAATTTCCTTGGAGATGTAAGCCTGAGAGCTTCAGGTGTTTTGTTTGTGTGTTTCACTTGTTGTTACTGTTTTGTTGTCCTCTGGAGGCTGCCTACAATTCCTTGTCAAATGAGGTTCCTCAACATGGTTCTTTGCTTCCTTACAGCCAGCAAGATGTATGCTAAAGTCATAATGTAACAGACTCATGTAATCACATATGTCCATCACCTTTGTCATGTTCTATTGCAAGTCACAGGTCCTGCTCACTTGAGGGGATTGCAGAGCCATGTGAACACCAGGAGGCAGAGGTCATGAGGGCCACCTTCAGAGTCTGTCTGCCACACTTGGGTTTCAAAAGAATACTTTTGGCTGTAGTACAGAGAATTTGTGGTAATGGGGAAAGTGATAAAAAGGAAACCATTTATAATCCAGGAGAGAGATGATGGTGGCATACACCACTAGGGTTGTAGTTGTGCAGGAGAGAAGAGGTTGGATTTCTGACATTTTGAAATTAGAGCCAATAGGACTTGCTAATGCCTTGGATATGTGTATTGGGCTGCTCAGGCAAAGGCCATCTGCATGTAAAATATTACGTGATTCAAATTTTGATACTACTATAATGCCATGCATAACACACATACAAATTTTTTTGCCTATGATTTCAGGGGAATGTTTAGAGTCATCCTGAAAACTGTGTAGCTTAATATCTTTTTAACACTTTTTAATAATAGTTGTATTTATTTAAAATGTGTTTTAATTTACTTAATTCATGATATACAGTTGACCTTTGAATATGCACAGGTTAGCGACACTGATCACGCACACAGTTGAACTTTTTTGATTCCCCCAAAACTTATGTTGTGGCACAGGGATTGGTTCCAGGACCCCTCCAGGCACCAGAATCTAAGGATATTCAAGTTCCCTATATATTATAAAACAGTATACATCAGTGCGTACAGTCAGCCTCCATCTGTGGGCTCCCAGTCACAGGTGGAAAATAGTACAGGTATTTATTGAAAAAAAATCCATGTGTGGATAGACGTGCACAGTTCAAAACCATGTTGTTCAAGGGCCAACTGTAATCAAGAGAAAAGAAATGTAATCAAGATTGTTCTGCCCTTTAGCACTTGAAGAATTGCTAGTGTAAGGTCACTGGTCTTTTACAAAACAGCTAGAAATATATGGTCTCTGAAAAGCACAATCATCAAGACTGTAGCAACATGGGAAAGGCTTTTGGTACATTAAGGGACAGATGCCAAATGTGAAACAGAGTGAACCATGAGTCCCCTCTTTTCATACCTAAATCCTGGCATTGTGTGACAGCATGCACTTCTTGCTGTCAGGCGGCTTCTTAGGAATTGAAAAATATGTATAAACACTGAATTATACCCTCTTTTTACAGTCTTTAAGGACAGATTTTTAGCACTTTATAAGGTCTTTAATTCACAATTTAATTAACAGCTCATGGTTCAGTAAACAACTCTTTGAGGTTAATGGTTTGTCATTTTGGACATCAAAAGTATTTCTTTTACAAAATAGTTAGAAATATTTATTCACAGTGGTACATCAAGTTTTGGCACATACATTTCTGATATTTAATATCAGCATTAATTTTTCTATATTCATTCATTTTCATAGAATAACAAATACAAACCATAATAAATGGTTTATAATGTTGTAGAATAGTTTCAGAGGCTCCAGGTTGCCTTATCCCAGGTTCCAGTGATGGACCATAATTGTGTCACTTGGACTATGGACATAATATTGTCAGCTAAAAAAGACAAGCAGATCATTATATTTTGCAGCACTGGTACAAGAAAAATAGTGCCTGAATGCACATGAATAACAGCAACTACAAGTAGTTGATGGTTGAAGCTATATTCTATAGTTCTTTTTGGTTAATTATCTTGGATCATACATGTTGTGTTAAGGAACGCTTTCTAATATAATACCCTGATTTCACATTTATATACTGCATGCTTCTCTGTAGGGTGAATTTGTAAATGAATATGTTGGCGAATTAATTGATGAAGAAGAATGCAGATTGCGAATCAAGCGAGCCCATGAGAACAGTGTAACCAATTTTTATATGTTAACTGTCACCAAGGTAAAATTACTTTGTTTTTATTTTCATGATCTTAGGTTGAACTGTTTCCTCTAATTTGATTTTTTCAGACAAAGTATAATGATCAGCAGTAGCCAGTGTGCTCTCCACCATAATGTGCTAATTATACCAGCACAAAATGAATGCTTGCTGCAGCCTTGCACAGGTCATGTGAGACAGCACTGCGAGTGAAAGAGAACAGGAAAGGTTGACACACCTGGATTCTGGTCCCAGCTCCTCTTAGGCACTGAAAGACTAGCCCTCAGTTGCTTTATCACTGAAGGAGGGAAGGAGCACTAATTCTAAGTTATAAACCGCTGTTAAAGTTCAGATTTAGCAAAAATTCTAACTCTGAAAATTGTTCTGCACATTTAAATTTTTTAATGGTTTAGGAGATATAAATGCTGTCATAAGAAAAACAACGGAACTGCTGGTTTAATACATGCAGTTGTAAGTCAATTCAATTTCTTCACTAGTCTTCTGATTTACAGAGGACAAGAAAGTGAGGTCTAGCCGTGGTAAATGGTTGAATACCTTGTTACAGTTTAATGAAGAGCAAAGATTAGTACCCATGTTTCCTGTGTGCCAGGCCATTCCTAAAACTGAGTCGGAATGTCATTAAAGTTAAGAACTGGAGATCATGTAGAAGAAATATTATTTTAACTCATATGGTATTGTTTGAAACTTTTTACAGCTTTCATGAATATATATTCCATAAACATACAATGCCATTTATTTATGACTAGAGGCCCGATGCATAAAATTCATGCAAGGGTGGGGGTTCAGCCTGCCCTTAGCCCTCTCACAATCTGGGATCTCTTGCTCCCAACTGCCTGCCTGCTTGCTCCTTACTGCCTGACTGCTCACTCCTCACGACCTGACTGCTCACTCCTTACCACCCACCTGCTTGCTCCTTACTGCATGGCTCACCGCTCCATAGTGCTGCCATGGAAGTGGAAGAGGCTCCTGCCACCACCGCTGCACTACCATTCATGACCCCAGCTTCTGGCTGAGCATGCTTCTGCTGTGGGAGCCCACTGACCACCATGGGCAGCTCCTGAATTGAGTGTCTGCCCCCCTGCTGGTCAGTACACTTCATAGCGGCCAGTCTTTCTGGTCATTCTGCAATAATGGTCACTGGGCTTTTATATATATAGATTGTCAATTGGCTCCTAAATCCTATCTTCACTGTCAGTGACCCCTCCAGCCATCTTTACAACATCTTATAGGGCTTATCCAGATGATCAGAATTTAAAATTAGGGGCCCAATGAGAAGGTTTGTACTGTATTTTAGACTTCACTACAAGTAAAATTAGAACAAATTTAAAAAAAACTATCAGCTTTGCACTGGCTATGAAGTTTCATAGCCAGTGAGACTTATCTGAGGTGTGATTATTGCTAATCGAAAAAAAAAAAGGAAAACCACTCGAGCATGTCAAACTCAGGGCCACAAGTTTGACATGCTTGAGTATACCCCTTCCATCAAATCTGCAAGTCTTTATTCAGAAGAGAAGTTTCTCATTTTTCCTACTTGCTCTTCATGGCCTGAACCCTGAGCCTTCTAGCCCTGTTCTAGTTGTGCTTCTTGCTCAGAACAGGAAAGGAGGGCGACAGCTCAGCACCCTGTTCCCTTCACAAGGCGCTGTCTGAACTCAGAGCTCTCTTAGAAATACTTTTCCTAAACCGAAGACCAGAGCATCTTTTAAGCATTATTCTACTGTCTGTTTGTTTCCACTTTATCTTGATTGTTTTGACTTGAAAGTCATGAGAGGAAGTAGATAACTTACTAAATGTACAGAGAGCGCCACATTTTCACGTTTGCATTCATCAGGCATCAGCTGCTGCCTGGTGGCTCTTGACTGCATTGATGTTTCTAAGATGTTTATTTTTAGTTTTATGTCAAAGGTACCTTTCCCTTCTTTTCTTTCTGAAGGACCGTATAATTGATGCTGGCCCAAAAGGAAATTACTCTCGCTTTATGAATCACAGTTGTAATCCAAATTGTGAAACACAAAAGTGGACAGTGAATGGAGACGTTCGAGTGGGACTTTTTGCTCTGTGTGATATTCCTGCAGGTAAACAAAGCAACTCGCTCCCCATGCCCCCTTCCTAGGAAGCAAGTATATCCTCTGAAAGCAAAACATTCTTCAAGGTTTGGTGCTCAGATATTTATTCAAATAAGTAATTATATTTAGAGTTGTTATCTGCCAATAAGAAGTAAAAATCTGTGTTCTGCAAAGGGAGCTCAGCAAGAGCTTCTCTGTAAGAGAGAATATCACAGAATTCTGGGTCCAGTCTTTCTGAATTAATTCTCCACATTATTGCTGTCTATATAACATAACCAGATGGTTAAGCTTTTGTTTCCTTTTTTTAAAGTTTTAAAAGCCTATGTTAACATCAGTGGGTTTCTTGGTTTGTTTGGGGGGTGGGGAGAGGTTGTTTTATTTTGAAAGACATTCAGTTTCAAATTAGACATAAAACACTTTTGAAGCCAGAGTTTTCAATTTTCCTTACCCATCTAGCATCTTAACAGCAAAGCTTAGTTTCTCCTCTGTTAAGTTTGTAGCAAAATGAGTGTGAAATGCTGTAGCCAAAAGGAATTTCAGTTGTATATCTAGACTCACGGTGGATTGTTCAAGTCCAGTAAAAGAAAGCGGGGGCCTCCTAATTTGAATCACTGGATCTTTGGTGTAGATAATAAACTTCTATTTTGAACTCTTTTCTAGTCAGAATACAAGGTATTAATTACTGGAAACAGTATGGTCGTCATAATTCCACAGACATATTGTTCATTTAGAAACTAGTATAAATTAGCTTCAGAAAAGAAAACTAGAACTCATTTTTCTTAAACAGAGATTTCAAATCCTGGTCTCTATTACATAGTTTTTGACCACTTCAATGAAAAGGATGTGACGGCTTTTGTAGAATATTTATTTTTGCTGTAACATGGGTGTGTCGGGATGTTTTCCTCTAGTTATTTTTTTCCTTTTTTCTTTTTTTCCATCACTGTCTTCAATGTAGAATGTGGGGGAGGGAAAAGTTGATGTCAGAATTGTGTCTCATTTTTTCATTCCGAGAGTTTCTATGACTACAGTTTCTTCCCCGTTACTTGAATATAAATAATTATTTCTCTTCTGTTTTAGGAATGGAGTTAACTTTTAATTATAACCTGGATTGCCTGGGCAATGGCAGGACGGAGTGCCACTGTGGGGCAGAGAACTGCAGTGGTTTTCTTGGAGTGCGGCCCAAGGTCAGTGTGCAGGGGCTTGCCCTGAGCCAGTATGGAGGGGCTACTGCAGTCTCATAAGCATATGACCATCTCAGGAACATACTGACAAATGGATACCTGGTTTAGTTCACTGATCTTCAGTGGTGTTTACCCAGAGTTTAGACTGACTTTCCAATACCTTAGTAAGATCTATTAGTTTCTGAAAATGTATTTGTATTTCTGATAGAATTTGAAGCTAGCAAAATCCTTTTAGAAAACTTTTTTTTTTTTTAATTCACAATATACTAAAAACCACTTAATTATATACTATAAAATGGTGAATTTTGCCCAGGTAGCTCAGTTAGTGTCATCACAGCATGCTAAGATTGTGGGTTTGATCCCCAGTCGGGGCACATACAAGAATCAACCAATGAGCCTAGTCAGTTTGGCTCCATGGATAGAGCGTCGGCCTGCAAACTGAAAGGTCCCAGGTTCAATTTTGGTTAAGGGCACATGCCTGGGTTTTGGGCTCAATCCCTAGTGGGGGACTTGCAGGAGGCAGCCTATCCATGATTCTCACTCATCATGGATATTTCTATCTCCCTCCCTCTTTCCTTCCTCTCTGAAGTCAATAAAAATATATTAAAAAAAAAAAATCAACCAATGAATACATGATGAGTGCACAACAAATTGATGTTTCTCTCTCTCCCTTCCCTCTCTCTCTAAAAGCAATTTTTAAAAAAAGATAATTAAGTTTTTTAAATGGTGACCTTAATGGTATATGAATTATATCTCATTGTCCTTATAATTTTTTAAAGTATTTTTTATTGATTTTATGGAGAGAGGAAGGGAGGAGAGAGGGATAGAAACATTGATTAGCTGCCTCCTGCATATCCCCCACTGGGGCTTGAGCCATAACCTGAGCATGTGCTCTGGCTGGGAATTGACCTGGCTACCTTTTGGAGCATGGGACAAAGCCCAACCAAATGAGCCACACCAGCTTATTTTAGCATTCTTTGGGATGAGTCTTTCTGGTGTTTTTATTTATTTTTAATTTAAATATATATATATTTCATTGATTTTTTTACAGAGAGGAAGAGAGAGGGATAGAGAGCCAGAAACATCGTTGAGAGAGACATCAATCAGCTGCGTTTTGCACACCCCCTACTGGGGATGTCCCTGCAACCAAGGTACATGCCCTTGACGGGAATCAAACCCGGGACCTTTCAGTCTGCAGGCGGACACTCTATCCACTGAGCCAAACCGGTCTCGGCTTCCTGGTGTTTTTAGTTAATTGAACAACAGATGAAATTAAATGACTGTGTTGTAGGATTTTTCCCTTCTCTTGTACAGCTTCCTGCATTATGATCATTAAACTGTGATCCTTTTTCCTGGCAGTCGGCATGTGTGGCAACAACTGAAGAAAGGGCAAGAAATGCTAAGTTAAAGCAGAAGAGACGAAAAATCAAAACAGAATCAAAGCAGATGCATGAAGATTACTGTTTTCAATGTGGAGATGGTGGAGAGCTGGTCATGTGTGACAAAAAGGACTGTCCCAAAGCATACCACCTCCTATGCCTTAACCTGACTCAGCCACCATATGGTAAGTGAGATCTTTCTCAGACTTGCATTTTTGCCAACTATGTGTAACTCAGAATATAGTCCACTGTCCTTAGTGGAGCAGTGGAATAGGAATCACTGACTAGGACAAACAACCATAGCAAACAAAAATTATGCTAGTGAAAATCTGTTTGCCAATTTGGGATACCTATGAGCCAGCAAGGATTGGTTTTCCTTTATATTATCACTAGAGGCCTGGTGCACAAATTTGGGGTCTCTTGGCCTGGCTGGCGATCTGGGAAGATTGGGGCCAGCCAGCAGGGGGGTGGGGGCGGGGGTCACAAGGGACCATAGGAGGTTGGCCAGCAGCAGGAGGTTGGCTGTGGGAGCGCACTAACCACTCAGGGGCAGCTCCTGCGTTGAGCGTCTGTCCCCTGGTGGTCAGTGCATGTCATAGCTACTGGCCAGTTATCTGGTCATAACAGTCACTTAGGCTTTTATATATATAGATAGGTGAGTACTATGGGCAGTATCTCACATTTGTACCCAATGGTTCACCTAGCCAGACCAAAGTTTGGCTGAAATTTGGAGTTGTATTCAAGTGATCAGTCTCCAGAAAAGATGGGATCCTGGGTTTTTGTGGGTAATTAAGACAGGCACTAACTTGGGCTCTTCTCCTCCTCTCCGCCCTATTAGGAAAGTGGGAGTGCCCGTGGCATCAGTGCAATGAGTGCAGCAGTGCAGCTGTTTTCTTCTGTGAGTTCTGTCCACGTTCCTTCTGTAAAGATCATGGGAAGGGAGCTCTGGTCCCCTCTGCACTGGAAGGCCTTCTCTGCTGCTCTGAACATGACCCCGGGGCTCCTGTGCCACCAGAATACTGGAGCAAGATCAAGTGTAAATTGGAATCACAAGATCATGGAGAAGAAGCAAAAGAATGAATGGGTGGTGATTTCCTTTTTCTTTGAACAAAAAGGAGAAGCAGACGTAAACAGGTGATGTTAGTAAAGGAGAGACTGCTGCCAGGTGCCATCAGTGCTGCCTTATCAAGAGACTGGGAGCCGGTCCTGCAGGCAGCAGCAGTTGGTGATATCTGGATTTTGTCTGATTTTGTTGGTTTGGTGATTCTTGAGTGGAAGGTTCGATTCCCTTGGTCCTTTCTTGCTTTTTATTTTGCTTCAAGGCCTTGCAGTTGGAAAAAATATGTCTTTGCTTTAAAATTAGAACAAAATGCAAGTTTTGTTAATGAAATGAGTGTAAAGTCCTTGGGTGTAAAAAGCAAAAGTCACCATCATTCCTTTATTTATTTTCATTTTTTTAAATGTTAAGTATAGTTCAGATAGTCTAATCAGTGTATGTGTGAGTGTGTTAGGTAAGAATTGGAGAAAGCCCTCTAGCAAAGGATGTGATGATCTCTGTATACCTCTTTACTGTGGAGTAATAGGCTAACCTCTTTCCCTTCACAATGTCTTTCATGGCCTTGGAGAAGGCTTCTATGGAAGCATTGAATCTGGCTTCTTGAAAACAAAATGCTTCCATGGCTTTTACCTCTGTGGTCTTAAACTAAGTGGGTTTTGTGATATGATAACTTTACCTAGAAAGTTATATAGTGTGATTTTGGTTTCGGTTTGGAGAAAAAAAGAAATGGATGCACTTACTGAGTTTGGAATGTTTTCCATTGATAGTGGGTATTTTTGATGAAGTGCATTTATGTAGATATGAATGCAGTATTAGAATGGTCATTCCTATTTCTTTTATATATATATATATATTTTTATTGATTTCAGAGAGGAAGGGAGAGAGAGATAGAAACATAAGTGATAGGAGAGAATCATTGATCAGCTGCCTCCTACACACCCCCTACTGGGGATGGAGCTCATAACCCAGGCATGTGCCCTGACAGGGAATCAAACCATGACCTCCTGGTTCATAGGTTAACTTTCAACCACTGAACACATTGGCCGGGCTCATTCCTATTTCTTGACACACAGATAAAGGCAGCTAGAGGGGGACGAAAGGCACAGACCAAAAAAGTTGGATGATATAAGCACCATTTTCTGTCACACCCTAGTTGACTTGGAAAGAATTAGGGTATTTTATTTTGTCCCTGTCCTAATCATACATTCCCTTTATCAACCGACTCCTCAAGTTTCCTGGTGAAACTACACAGACGAGTTTGATTGTTTTTTAATAGCTCTTTTTTGTTTAATCCTATTTGGGGTGGAAGGGGGCACATCTCAAACTTCTGAGTCAGTAGTTGCTGTTATCTGGTACTTAACGTTGTCCCCGTAGAAGGAGGGAGGGAAGCACTTCTACTGGGTGTATAATAGCCACACAAATGCACTTCATCTTAGGAGCCACTTAGGAAAAGCTCCAAGGAAGCAGTGTTAGCCAAAATGATTGGCTGTGGTGCTTGCATCTCATAGATGCAAGTGTTCCAAGATGTCTGCCCACAGAACTCACTTGCTTTTAACCCCAAGGAATATGTATATTCCAGTAGCCCTTGTATGAAATAATTAGTGATGTCAGACATTGTTGTAACACTGTACTAAGTAGAAGTCTAGAATTAGCTTGAATGAACGTTAACTTTCTCTGTGAATTTTGACTGCTTACAATGAATTGCTGGTACCTGGTAACATTTCTTTTCCCTCAAGAAGCACCTAGTAACCTTGTGAAGGTAGGGAGGGTAGATGCTATACCACACTCCTTCATTTGTGTTATGTGTGTTTCTTTTTCTTACCAATTTAGGGCTCTTCTCTGGAAAAAAAGAAAAGCTGTTTTGTGCCTCTTTTTTTTGTATGTAAATGTGCAATGATACTGGATTTTTGTCTTGTGTGGGGGGGAACAAAACAGGAAAACAACACTACAGTTCCTTTACCTAAGCTCCTAAACTGCCACTTGCCTGATTCTGGCAATTAATTTTGAGGTAACTTCTTGGGCCTCCAATAGTTCTTTTGATTAGATATGGTCCCAAAAGAAAGAGCAAAATGGAAAATGCTATACATGTTAGCAACTGTAATTGCTACAAGTAACATGGATTACATCTTGCCAAAACACTAACCTTTGCTCTTGAACAATTATATAGCTTGATGTCCTTTTAAAAAATAATTTAAGAAAATCTAGGTTTTATCATACTAAAACTTTATTTTCTATATATATATATGATGTTTGCTTTTCTAAACTTACTAACATGAAGGATTTCCTTTCATATTCAAAATGTAACTCTTGTTAAAACAATATCCAACATGAAATCTTATCTCCTTAGTGCTATTTGATATCTGATGACTTTTATATGGTAAGCCAGGGTCTAGTCTATAAACTACAAATACCTTAGGTTTAAGTATTTTTATGCAGTTCCTCATTGTGTCACATTTTGTTTGTGTATCTGTAACAGAGCTCTGCTGAGCCCGCTTAATTTGGGGGGCGGGGAGGCTAACAGGATTGTTCTGTCATTTCAGAAATCAGGGTAGAAAACAAAATAGCTAACCCTAGCTCTGGGTCTGTGCATGAGTGTTCTTTCATGGTCTAAAAGGTGGTTTTAGTCATGCCAGTGCTAAGGAGCTCTTCTCACTCCGCCATCGTGTCACTGTTGATATTGAGTCCATTGTGAAGTTGCAGGTTCTGGAAGCAGAAAGAGTACCTTGTGCTTTAAGTGTGCAGCGTATACCTGCACTGTGCTTGCCTGTGCTTCCCCAGTGAAGTATTCCAACACACATTGCTCACTCAGTCTGAGGCTGGTATTTGTTAACTTTTAAATCTGTATGTGGTCAGAGCATACATGCTTGGTTTTTAATATTGTCCAAAATGAAATAACTTAAAGCAGCTTGAGATAATGGTGGTATTTTTTTTTTTTTAACCTCGTTAATTCTTGGGAAGAAGTGAAGATAAGATTTTTCATAATCAGCATAAAGCATCAAAAATTGGATCAGTAACAACTAAAGATGAAATCCTGATACATTTCCAGGCGCTGAGCAGTGGAGAGGGGCTGGGCCATGTGTGGCCGGCATGGGGAGCGGGAGAGGCCAGGAGCAGCCAAGGAGGCTGAAGCAGCCCGAGGACACAGTCACTTCTTTAGTGTTTAATCAGGGCTAGAATGAGGAGTGGGATGGGGTTTACTTTATGTTTGTTTTAACAAGCTCCCATTCTATCACAATTCTCAAAAGTAATCTGGCCTAAGTTACATAATAGGCTTACTTTTAGAATCATCGAAACTTGTATGTTCAAGGCAGGAACATATCTCAAAACTAAAATAATAATGGGGGCAGGAAAGACTGCTCCAGTTCCCTTCTGCCAATCCCAAATATTTGTAAATAATGTGCAATTCTGAGGTGATCACGTAAAGGACTCCCAGACGGGGCAGGCTGTTGGGCAGCTTTGCTGGTTGACGAAGTAGGGCCTCCTTTTGGAGTTGTTTGCGGCATGGTATGTATTCCAGTCAGGGTCCAACCAGATCTGCAGTTTGGAAACAGATACAAGGGCCACTGTACAGAATGTAATCTCTGGACTACCCAGCACTTGTTGCTTGTCTTTTGTTTCATTTTTAAACACAAAGCTTCCTTTAACGTTCACCTTAAAGTCAAGGTGCTGCCACTGGCCATGTCCCAGCAGGACAAGAAAACAGTCACCACTTGGGAAGCTTACGTGTGATGTGCTTGTCCACGAGGTACGATGGATGATACTGGCGAGCTGCTCTGGGCAGTGTCAGTCAGACTTGTAATGCTTCTTTTACAAGGCTGATGTATCCAGCCACCCCCGAGTTGTCCAAGTTGCTGCAGACATGGAATGATCATTGGGAATAACTCCCTTGGACCGAGGGCCACATAGATTTGGTCTGTGGCCATTTGTCAAAAAGAGAAGAACTTACTCCCATTTCCAGATTAGCTAGGGCATAGATATAATTAGACAGCTTTGTCATGTATTAACAAGTATTGAAAAGTTGGAAATTTGTATATACTGAAATCTATCAACTTCTATCTGGGGTGGGGCACAGGGAGAAGAGGGGGTGGGACAGCAGGGTAAGGGAGGGGACGATGATGTTTACCACAGGTGCGAAGTAGTCACTTTAACTTTGAGACCTCTGCCTCATGAATTCAGGTGTTTTTAAGTACTTGAAAGTCTTCAGATTCTCCTTATTTTAACAGTTATTTTTAAATTTATGAAGTAGAAAGCATTGTTTTATACACTGTTTTGAAAATAGCCTAGTCTCTCATCCTCTTTCACACGAATTAAAGGTGAAGTTCTGCAAGTAGGAGAGCGTGCTCACAGTAGGTTTCTCAGATCTAATGTACACGGGATGCCAGAAGCATTTCGATGAATATTTCCCAGGTAGGTTCTTTATCATTTTGTCAACCCAAGCACCTCTTCTCTCTAATGTATGTATGCCTGCCTGGGAAGGGGGTGGGGGGAATTTGCACTTACGTTACACCCTTGAAATGCTGGGTGTAACCTGTGTGTTTAAAAAACATTTTTTTTTTTTTTTTTTTTTTTTTTGTCCATTGCTTAAGTGACCATTTGAAGTACTTGTGGCACATATGTATGAAGGGGGATGAGAAAGAGAGTTACCTGTTTTTTTGGTAGCCTCCGAAAGTCATTAACATGTAAGTAAAAGGGAAAAGATGAGTAGTTGCCAAAGTCATTTATTCAGTCCTTAGTTTTCTTATGTCCTTAGTTATTCTATCTGCATATTGGCAAGAAGCACCCTCAGGCTCCAGTACTTCCTTCCCTGGCCACCACAGACTTCTGATATGTGTGAATGCAGATTATCTGGATTAGGTATTGGTAAGGTATTCCTGTCAGTTTGGAAGTGGACTGGATAAAATTTGTTTATATCTATTTCATTTGTTTATATCTATTTAATTTGTGCATTCTTGTTAAAAAAGAAAATCATTATTGCCACAGACAACCAAGTTGCTAAATGATGATTACAACTAGCTAATAATAAGGTTCTTTTTATATACAAGGGTGTGTGCAAATTTGAATTGATATGAGAAATTCATTTTTACCCACTTGTGATATTGCACAAACACAGATACCGACAGATTCTGTTTTCATTTCTTTGTGATCTTTATGATAACAACCTTTGTAGATTGGTTATTTCTGTACTTTATCTGTAATAAACTTTGTAGATCCTGTGAATTGTTATTTTACCTAAATCACTTGAGACTTGAGTCTTTAATAACAAAGCACCAATATTCACTAAAGTCAATCTCTTGTGAGTTTCTGTGACTCGGCTAGAAGCTCGACACTAAAGGATTAGTGACCGTTTTCCTGGGGGTGTTCCACTAGGGCATTACTGTATAGCGACTTGATGTTGCCACACAGACTTCAGGATATATATTTTGGGGATTTTGTTGGCTGGCCTATGTTTTACTGCATAGTGTGAATTGTGCAAAGCTTGGTTAACCTGTATATAGATCACTTACTGTTGACTCGATATCGTGTATTTAGGATTGCCTGTAATATTTAAGCTGCTTACTGCTGTCTGTGCTGGTAGGAATCAATTTTTGTATATTATATTTACTGAGATGTTGCCTTTTTTATTTTATAAATACTTTGGAATTTAAATGTGGTTTGTTTTGTTGTGTTTTTTTTTGCTTCCGTGAGGATTAATTTGGAAAGGTTTTTAATGACATTCCACTGATTTCAGATTTTGCTTGAGATTGACTTCAATAAATTGTCCTGTATGTTCCAAATTAAATATGTGGACTTGTTCATTGCCTGTAGTTTTCTTGCTCTAGTCACTGGGCCAGAGGCCTTCCTGGGAGGGAGGGGCCCGGCTGCGGTGCTGCCCCACCTAGTGTGCCAGCCCCGTCAGCAAGGCCTGCAGCACAGCAAGTCTTGTGAGAGCTAAGTACATCTTCCTTCAAAATGCAATGCTGCTAATAAGCTGGGGCCCGCAAATGCAGAGGTTTCGTTTTGTGTTCATGGAGGATAGGTCCTTGGAGAATGTTGCTCCGTGCTTTGGTATCCTCTGAGAATATCCAAGCAACGGCCAGTTGGCGAAGGAGTCAGACATGACTGGGAGGTTGAAATCACTTTCATCCATTGGTTTATCAGACGGGAAGGTAGCCTGCTGCGTGGCAGGACACTGGGAGCTAGCTCCTTGCTGGAGAACAGCACTGCTTGCCCTCCATCCCTCTTGCTAGTGGGTGATCTGAGAGCACGCCGACCTGGCCGGGTAAGGAGGCGGAGCGCCTCCCCTGCCTGCAGTTCCCCGAGTGCCCACCAGCGGGCGCTGCCAGCAGCTGAGACCCGGCCTGGGGAGGAGAAGGCGGGGAGGCGGCCTCCTGTGCTCGCTGCAGCGGCTGCCACGTCAGCGCGGTCAGGGCCGAGCGGCGGCGGCGGCGGCGGCGGCATGGCTCGGATGAGGAAGGCAGCGGAGGCCTTCTGGGCCGAACTGGGCTTGCGGATCGCACTGTTCACGGCCTTCCTGTAAGCGGCTTCCGGATCGAGCCCCAGGGCCCGGCACCCTCTTGCACGGACCGGGTGGGCGGGTCCCCGCAGCGCTGCCGCCTCTCCCCAGGTCGCGGGGAGCCGGAGGGAAGCAGACCGACATGCTCTGCACTTTTTGTTTCCCTTCAGGGTAACAGAGCTGCTCCCGCCCTTCCAGAGGCTCATCCAGCCCGAGGAGATGTGGCTGTACCGGAATCCGTATGTGGAAGCAGACTATTTCCCCACCAAGTGGATGTTTGTGCGTGGAGGACAGCCCTTCCTCCCGCCCCCGGGGACGGCTTCCTGCGCTCTAGTGCCGGGAAGCCGAGGCGGTCCTTCTGGCTCCGAAACGGCCTTTGTGGGGGCTGCCACTGCCCTCGCTGATGTGCAGAGATGGCGCTTCCCCATGGTTAAGAGCCAGATTTAGGGCGCCGGGCTCTTCGGGAGGCTGTGGCTGCCGGGGACCCGAGTTTGTCTTTCCTGGGAAGCGGCTGGGTCTGAATGATGAGTTCTGTCACTGCCCTTCCTCTCCCGGGGGAGCTCCTGTGCCCACTGGTTTTGTTTGTTAACCTTTGCCATGTTCTGGTCCAGGCCATTGCCTCTCTCTCCCCGCTGTCTCTGATCCTCCTGGCCAAATGTCTCAAGCAGGCGGACACCACGGACAGCAAACAAGCCTGCCTGGGTAAGAGCTGGCCCTTCCCACCCCGTGTCTTGGTGCCCGAATGAGAAGGCAGGGCTGTTCTACATTCCAGAGGTGCTTGTATCTGCCTGGACCCCACTTGTTACCCTGGGACAGTGGTCGGCACACCGCGGCTCGCGAGCCACATGCGGCCTGGGCCAGTCTATTTTGAAGAAGTGGCGTTAGAAGAAGTTTAAAAAATTTGGCTCTCAAAAGAAATTTCAATCGTCGTACTGTTGATATTCGGCTCTGTTGACTAATGTGTTTGCCGACCACTGTCCTGGGGGACAGAGGAATAGCACTGTAAGAACTTTCAGCCTCACAGGTGGCCTGCACGCCCTGGGTTTTGTGTGCCTCAGAAATGACGTCAGCCGGCACAGTTCTCCCTGTGCCACAGCTGAGCGGTCAATTGTTGAGGGCCAGAATCATGTTGTTGTTGTTGTTAATCCTCATCTGAGGATATTTTTTCCATTGATTTCCAGATATTGGAGTAACTATTCAAGAATAGGGGAGGTGGTTTACCTTCCTGAGATTTGAACATTTTATTACTAATGTATTATTTGTTAGATCCTACAATGTGGTACGGTCATAGAAATATTAACTAAACTTTGACACTGTGTCAGCTATTTTGAAAAGCATTTTATTTTTTACATGGAAAAGAGAGATAGAAACATCAGTGTGACAGAGACACATCCATTGGCATGTCCCAACAGAGGCCAGGGATCGAACCTGCAACAGCCACAGTAAGTTGAACCGAGACCCTTTTGGTACGTGGCTGGCATTCACCACTGAGCCACGCTGGCCAGGGCCAGAACCATTTTTATAGTCAGCTTGAGCCCGATCATTCCTCTATCTCAGAAAGGCCACGGCTTGTCACTGAGACAGTGGCTGTGCAATTCCTTCAAGACGGATGCCACTAACGATAGGTTTCTTTGTCTTCCAGCTGCCAGCCTTGCCCTGGTTCTGAATGGTGTCTTTACCAACACAATAAAGCTGATAGTGGGGAGGTAAGTGCCCAGAGGGAGCCACCGGTGCCTGCCTCGGCCTTCCCTCGGCAGGAGATGGTTGATGGCACTCTTTCTCCTTATCCTTCTTTGTTCTCAGCCTGTTCTTGCTCCCTGGCCTGCCCTGCCCCTCAGTCCTGCGGGTGACACTGGGCTCTTTCCGGCCCCAAACAGCGTTTCCATTGACACCCACAGCAGTTCGGTGTCCTCCAGAGGCCCCCCCCCCCCCCAAGCTGCACTGTGACTTGCTCTTTGCCCTAAAAGGTAACCATGTGCCAAAATAAAACCACCTGTGCTAGCTTGGCTTCTTCCCCCTCTCCCCCCACCCCCCGAATTAAACACTCACCCTGGAAATAAGGCTTTTCTCTAGTGGTGACTATACTAGTCCAATCTCATTATTTTGCCTGGACACTGTGTATCCATCAGTGACCAGGATTATGGACGTCTGATACACTAAAATACAGTTTCTGGAGTTGTGACCAGAAATGACATCTGCTCGTTTCTTCCAGGCCACGCCCCGACTTCTTCTTCCGCTGCTTCCCGGATGGGCAGGCCCATTCCGACCTGGCCTGCACGGGAGACGAGGATGTGGTGAATGAGGGCCGCAAGAGCTTCCCCAGTGGACACTCTTCCTGTATGCTGCCATGTGGACTCCACGCCTATGGTTTGGGGGATCACTGCATTTCATGTAGGAAGCTTGTGGGGATGAAAACATCATACTACTCTTGTTCTTGTATCTAGAAATTAGAGGACACCCCCCTCCCCCATTTTTAAGAACCCCAAGATTTCAAAAGCCTGAGCCTCAATATTAGGGTAACTATTTAAGATTAGGGGAGATGGTTTACCTTCTTGAGATTTGGACATTTTATTACTAATGTATTATTTATTGGATCCTACAATCTGGTACTAGTCATAGAAATATTAACTAACCTTTGACACTGTGTCAGCTGTTTTGAAAAGCATTTTATTTTTTAAAATACATTTTTATTGATTTCAGAGAGGAAGGGAAAGAAATACTGGTAGGTAGAAACGTCAGTGATGAGAGAGAATCATCAAGTGTTGCCTCCTGACACCCACCCTGGGGACTGAGCCCACAGTCCGGGCATATGTCTCAACCAGGAATCGTACCATGACCTTCGATTCATGGGATGACTCTCAACTACTGAGCCACACCAGCCAGTGGAAAGCATTTTAGATTCTACCTCATTTGACACTATACTAGCCCAATGAAGTGGGTACTATTATTTTTATGATTCCCATTTATACATGAGAAAACTAAGGCGTTGAGAAGTAACCTGCCCCGAGTCATACAACTAGTTAGGATATTAACTTTGCAACACAAAATAAAGTGTTTAATTTTTCCTTTAATTTCCCTCTCCCTCATAATCAATGTTCTACTCCAGAAATATACCAAAAAAAAGGGTGGGGTGGGGCGGGGGATAAAACATATTCATGTCCCCTGGCCGCCTCCTTGTAGATTAGTGGGGAGCTTCCTTTAAAAGACATACACTTACAGGTTTTCTCTCTTCTAGTTGCATTTGCTGGGCTGGCCTTTGCTTCCTTCTACCTGGCAGGGAAGTTACACTGCTTCACGCCACAAGGCCGTGGAAAATCTTGGAGGTTCTGTGCCTTTCTGTCACCTCTGCTTTTAGCAACTGTGATTGCACTGTCCCGCACCTGTGACTATAAGCATCACTGGCAAGGTAAGCAGTCTTCATGCCCTGGAAGCTTCCATGTATCTATCATTCATCATTTTATCTCCATCACCTGGCACAGAGTTGACACTAAGAGTCTGTTGAATGAATAAACCTGTGAGTATGAGGGAGTCTGGGGCCTATACTAAGATAATGCATTTATAACTACACTAGAGGCCCGGTGCACAAAATTCGGAGCAGGGGGGTGTCCCTCAGCCCAGCCTGCACCCTCTCCAATCTGGGACCCCTAGAGGGATGTCTGATGGGATCGGGCCTAAATGGGCAGTTGGACATCCCTCTCACAATCCAGGACTGCTGGCTCCCAACTGCTCGCCTGCCAGCCTGATCACCCCCTAACCACTCCCCTACCAGCCAGATTGATGCCTAACTGCTCCACTGACAGCCTGTTTGCCCCTAACTGCCCTCCCCTGCAGGCCTGGTCACTCCTAACTGCCCTCCCCTGCAGGCCTGGTCACCCCTAACTGCCCTCCCCTGCAGGCCTGGTCACTCCTAACTGCCCTCCCCTGCAGGCCTAGTCACCCCTAACTGCCCTCCCCTGCAGGCCTGGTCACTTCTAACTGCCCTCCCCTGCAGGCCTGGTCACTCCTAACTCCCCTCCCCTGCAGGCCTGGTCCCCACAACTGCTCTCCATTGCAGGCCTGGGTCCTGCCTCCCCCACCCCCCCAACTGTCCTCCCTTGCATGTTTGATCGCCCCCAACTGCCCTCCCTTGCAGGCCTGGTCCCTCCCAACTGCCCTCCCCTGCTGGCCATCTTGTGTGTTGGAATGATGGTCAACCTGCATATTATACTTTTATTAGATAAGATAGAGGCCTGGTACATGGGTGGGGGCCAGCTGGTTTGCCCTGAAGGGTGTCCTGGATCAGGGTGGGAGTTTCCTTGGGGTGTGTGGCTGCCTGGGCAAGGGACATGTGGTGGTTTGCAAGCCAGCCATTCCCTCCACCACCACCCCCCCCAAGCGACCTAAGTGGAGGCCCTCATATCTGGGATTTATCTTCTAGAATTGAAACTTTATAGCCTGGAGTGGAGCCAAGCCTCCTGCTTGCTCTATTTCTGTTGGGATTTATATATCTTCTATAATTGAAAGTTTGTAGACTGGAGTGGAGGCCAAGGCAGGCCAGGGCTTCAGAAGCTTGGCTTCCTCCATCGCCAGGGGCAACCCTAGCCTCCTGCTCTTTCCAGCTCTGTGGCTGCTGCCATTTCTGTTTGGATTTATTTATCTTCTATCATTGAAACTTTGTAGCCTTGAGTGGAGGCTTAGGTTGGCAAGGGCAGGCGGAAAGCTTGGCTTCCTCCATTGTCAGGGAAATCCAAGCCTCCCTCCTGCCCTCTGTGGCCGCAGCCATCTTGGTTAGGTTTAGTTGCATATTTTCTTCTGGTTGGCTTGTGGGCGTGGCTTGTTTGTATAGTGGATGTGTGGTCAATTTGCATATTACTCTTTTATTAGATAGTATGGAAGATGAGAAAGGAGACTGGACCTTTTAAGGTAGGGGTGTCGAACTCAATCAGAGAAGGGGCCAAAATCTAAAATCCAGCCTAAATCGCGGGCCGAATGGTTTACTGAACAGTCATAAACTGTCATTGTGATGGAAACGCAGCGGAGTGCAGTGAGGACAGCACAGTGTGGGCCACATTGCAAGGCCTGGCGGGACGGATTTGGCCCGCGGGCCTTGTGTTTGACACATGTGTTTTAAGGAGATAACCAAGAATTAATGTCCTAATTTTTTCATTATTTTGAGGCATCATAAATTTAGAATAAACTAGAATGTTTTACAACAAACCTCAAATTTATTTACTGTCTTAAAATAAAAATCAGATTAATTGTCACCCCTAACTTGTCCAGAAATAATACTAAAATTCAAGGAGCGTAAACTAATTTTTTGAGGAGAGACAACTCCTGAAGAGTTTATTCCTTCCTCTAGAACTCTTAAAGTAGTGAAAACAATGAAAATTGTTAATAGTATGAAGTAAACGTTTGTTATTCTTTTGAATTTAAAAAAAAAAATCAACCTAATGTACTTGAAAAAGGCTTTTTATACTTAACTAAAAATGTGTTTTGCTTTAGTGCTTAGAGAACAATCTGATAATCCTATAAACTTTATTATGATCAAGTTGAGAAAGCCCTAAACCTGGGTTTTTGCAGTCCAAACAATGAGAATAACCTGGAGGGCCAAGTTCTCTATACTGTGTGCTTGCTGTCTGGCATGATTGAAGAGTCTAAAAAACTAAAGTGATTAAGAGAAGACTTCATCTCCTCTCTCTTCAGATGTACTAACTGGGTCTGTGATTGGCCTGACATTTGCCTATGTCTGCTACCGGCAGTATTACCCTCCTCTGACTGACGCAGAATGCCATAAACCATCTCACAGCAGACTTGTACTTCCTACTGCACAAAAGGACTCTGTGAATCCTTATCTGCTTGATATTTAGAAATTGGAGCTACCTCAATGGAGAAGAATAGGTGAATCAGCCCCTCTTCTCTGGACCAGGGGAAGACAAGAATTTCCTACCGTTTGACCTGTTAAAAGATACAAGTGAGGACATTAGCATTTCATTGTGTTCCATATGATTATGCAGTTTTGCCCTTGCTCACATGAGTTCACCATGAGGAGTCACAAGGTTCTTTTTCACTACTGTATGCCACACATTCTCATAAGAGAGCTTTCAATAATACTCCTACAGCATACAAATCTGGTTCATAAGATTGGTATCCTAAGACCTACAGAAGTGTTTCTTTATATAATGCCTTTTGTTGTTGTTAACCCTCACCAAGGATATTTTTTCCATTGATTTTTAGAGAGAGTGGGGGGAGGGGGGAGAGAAACATCAATGTGGAAGTGACACACACTTCAACGCTGAGGACTGAGCCTCCAACCAAAGTACATGCCCTTGACTGGAATCGAACCTGAGATCCTTCGATCCATAGGCTGACACTCTATCAACTGAACCAAACCAGCTAAGGCAAACCAGCTCGTGAGCCACACACGGCTCTTTGGCCTCTTGAGTGTGGCTCTTCCACAAAATACCATGTGCAGGCGCACATGTACAGTGCAGTTGAAATTTTGTGGCCCATGCGCAGAAGTAGGTTTTCGGCCTGTGAGAATTTTTTATGAAGAAGTGGCGTTAGAACACTCAAGGGGCCAAAGAGCCGCATGTGGCTCGCGAACCACAGTTTGCAGACCACTGGGCTAGGGAATAAATGCCTTTCTTAGAAGGATCTTGTCACAAGCCTTTACATAGTCCTACTTAATCCTAAAAGCTAGAGTCAATTCTCAAAACTTCATTTCCCTTGGAGTGTGGGGCGGCCTGGGCGAGGGACCTGTGGTGGTTCATGACCAACTAACTTATTTTGTTTCCACTTACTTTCTCTGGTGACAATTCCATCAAGCCTTAACGGGGGGAGTATCCGTTTCTGGCTGGTTTAACACTGCTTTGCATATCTTATCCAAGTTCAGCTAGATAGAGGTATTTTTAATACTGTGGACATAAATGATTTGTCAAATTACTAAGTAAACACAATAAAAAAGAAAATGGTTAGAAGTGTAGTTTCAATGCTAATAACTGATGACTGTTTCTACCTCATTTGTCCTTGACTGTGCTCATGAGCTTTCTCTCCCTTCATGACTAAAGATGTTCCCAAATGCATCAACTCTGCCAACTGGGTAAGGCAGGAAAGAAAATTACAGAGATCATTATCTGAAGGACAAATCTTTTTCTGTCCCTTCTTCATAGTGAAATAAAAGGAACGATTATAGGATATAACGGATGCTCTAGTATCTACAACTAACTTTTCTCTTTGTTGAGATTATATGTTAAATATGACCTTGTCTTTAACATTAATTTCTATTATGTATTTCCATTGTATCTTTCCCCTTTATAAATGTGATAAATAAAATGGCGAATGTGTGTTTTTTCTACTGAAGTGTAGCATTTAAGAGCTGGAACATTTTCAGAGTAAAGCATTGGTTTCTTCTTCTGACATAAGTGATTCAACTGCAGTAGTGGCTGGTTTCTGTAAACTTCTAAGATCAGTCTCAGTATTTGCCTTTAAACCGCCCTGTTTTCAACTCTAAACTATAACTACCTATGACAATGAAAACACCAGGCAAGGGAAAAGAACTTTTAAATGTTAGTTTTTTGCTCAAAAGTTTTATTTTTTAAAATGTGCTTAGTAAACCATAGGGGAAAAGAAAATGGTTATTATACAGATTTTCTTTATGGTGAATGAACCAGGTAACAGTAGGCAACAAGTAAATATGGTTTTATTTCAGTATTTACTCGAGTTTAAATATAATCATATAAAAAACAGACATTTCAAAAAGTGCAAAATATTACAAAGCTAATCAGTGCTATTGATCTTTCCATGCAAACAATACCAATTCTGGAGTTGTGACTATGTATAAAATGGTACTCTTCCAGAGTTTTAAAATAGGCGTGGTCGAGAGATTGCACATGACACAAAAGAAATAGTGCAAATAATGCACAACTAAAATTCCTCCCATTGACATGCCAACAATAATCAAGGCTCAACTACAACAGGAAGGTATGCAGCCCATACAGGGGATGCATCTGGAGTGCCCAGCTTGGGTGATTGAGGAGGCTATAAAAAACCCACTGCTTTAGGCCCCTACAAAGCCTGAGAGATATAGCAGCTCTACTTAATACATAGAAACAACAGGAAAACTACCAAAATGAGGAGACAAAGAAATGAACAAAACCCCAGAAAAAAAAAACTAAACAAAATGGAAACAAGAAATCTAGATGCAGAGTTCAAAACCCTGATTAAAAGGATGCTCAAAGAACTCAGAATTTCAGCAGCATAAAAAACAACATGGAAACCATAAAATAAGAACCAGTCAGAAATGAAAGATATACTAACAAATGAATAATTTAGAGGGAATCAACAATAGAATAAAGAAAGCTGAGAATCAAATCAGTGATTTGGACTATAAGGAAGCAAAAACACCGGATCAGAACAGCAAAAGTAATAATCCAAAAAGATGAGGAGCTCTGGGGCAACTTCAAGCACACCAACAGTAGCATCCTGGGGTGGCCAGGAGGAAGAGAGAGAGCGAGAAATTGAAAATCTACTTGAAAAAATGACAGAAAACTTCCCTAACATGGTGAAGGAAATAGACACACAGATCCAGGAAGTCCAGAGAGTTCCAAATAATATGGATTCCAAAAGACCCACACCAAGCACATCATAATTAAAAAGCAAAAGGTTAAAAACAATCTTAAAAGCAGAAAGAGAAAAACAGTTACCTACAAGGGAGCTCCCATAAGACTGTCACCTGATTTCTCAACAGAAACTTCGCAGGCCAAAAAGAATTGGCAAGAAATATTCAAAGTGATGATCATATAAAGAAGCACTCTCTAGGCCAGAAAAAGCTAAAAAAAAGTTAGCACCAAACCAGTATCACATGAAATGTTAAAGGGTCTTCTTGGGGGAGAGGGGGAAGAGAAGGGGAAAAAGACCAAATTGAACAATAAAATGACAGTAATACTTATCAATACTTGAATCTAAAAAACAAAATAAACAAGCAGAACAGAAACAGACTCATAAGTAGAGAACATTTTAATGGTTGCCAGATGAGAGGGGGGTTGGAAGGGATTAACAAGTATAAATTGGTAGTTACAGAACAGTCATGGGGATATAAAGTACAGCATAGGGAATATAGTTAATAGTCTAGTAACTATGTATGGTGTCATATGGATACAAGATTTATCAGGATGGTCATTTAGCAAACTGTAGAATGTCTAATCACTGGGTTGTACACCTGAAACTAATATTGTATGTCAACTAATTAAAAAATAAAAAATGATTTAAAAGATATACAACTAAATAAAGGATTTAAATCAAGCTTATTGGGGCTTCCAGGTTAAAGGACCAGAATTCCTTCATAGGCCAGCATGCCAGAGCCCCAAGTTCCAAGAAAACAGAAACTTTGTTCAAGACCTGGCCCTATGAATTGTCTCCATCTGGCTGTTAACTGAACAAGAAATAAGCATATCTGATTTTTCTGGAGATTTGGGGAAGTTGCAAAAAATACGGAAAAGAAAAATGGTCATGTTAATAAGACCCGAGGCTTTGTACCCAAAGCTGATGCTGACCAGAACCTAACTGTCTTTAGGGCTAATGATTAAGGGAGTGGACATGCAAGAAAGGAGAGACAGCTGAATGCAAAAGCAGCCAGGTGGAGACGATGCACAGGCAAGGTATGGGGAAGAATGGTGAACTCACATGCCCTCCTGGCTGTGGTGGCAGCCATTTCTTTCACAATACCTTCACCCCTTGCACTGCACCTCCACGTCTTCAACCCAGAAGCTCTCGGAATTGAGTGAAGCTTGCTATGTTATTTAAGAGTATATCTGACACCCATTTGGTCATTTTTTAATGTTTCATTATTATTTACAGCCAGAAAGGCATCCATTACCTTATTATATTGCTTCATGATCAGAATGCTTATTTGTATTATCCTCTAGATGTTTTGTAACTTTTAGAATAGTTTTTTTAAATGAGATATGTTCCCTAAAATGTTAGTAAATTAAAATGTAAATATGGTAACTGTGTAATTACAACCAGTGCAGAGATGACTGGTTTCATATGTAGTCCTGTGAAACAACCTTTACTGACAGTATAACTTTAAAGATAAACATTTATTCATCTACTAAGGACAGACGGAAACTCAGACAATTTTGCTACCTCTCAAGCTAGCATTATTCAGCAGATGTTGAAATCGGTAGATTCTAAACATATTTAGGAATTTCTAGCTCTAAGTTATTTGCCTTCATTACTTTTCTTTATAAAGTTGTACAATTACATAAATAAATATCTGTTTCCAGAGGACGGAAAAATCAAGCTTATTATCCTCTATAATATATTGAATATAATCATGATAACATAGGTGAAAACACAACAAATAAAGCTCTTCTACAGTTACTGCCCCAGACCAGCAGGATAGAAACATTTCTTATAACAAGCAGTGGTTTATCCAGGAACCTAGAGTTATGCCGTTCATCTTTGGTTATACTCACTCTTGCTTGTTCTTTGGTTTATGCCTAAATAGTACCAATTCTGATAATATGAAGAGCAAAAGCTTCCCCTCTAATATATGTATTGAATGCTACTTAATTCTCAACCCTTTTTCAAACTCAGAATTTACATACAAAGGAAATAAAGTATTCAATATTATCTGAAACTACTCAGTGGGTTAGTCCTCATTAGTCTTTAAGCAGAGTGCAAAGAAAGGCCAGGCTCTGAGCTATACCCTGACCTCACCTCTACCATCTCTAGATGACAATAATTAACTTCCCCCTTCCTTTTTTCTTCAGGAAGGGATAAACACTGCTTTCCAAGGGATGGCTTGAGTGAATGTTAAATACCAGTGCTTTCACAATACCTTGCTACATTTATTATAAACAAACAAACAAACAAAAAAACAGCTTGCCTGGCCTTGCCACTCAATGGCCTGTGGAAATCTGAGAGGAGTGTATCACAAAAAACACTGCAAAGACAATGACAAACTGATCAACGAGAAAGAAAAACCTACAGCACAGTGGTGAGACGATGCCTTGGAAAAAAAAATCAGACACATTTCACCCATTTTCTTCGAGGTACGTCTCACTTTGCGTGTTCTGACTCTGAATCTGGAGTAGCTGTTCCTTGGCTACTGCATAGCCAAACCTGCCTGTTCAACCAACACTGCCTGTGCCACGAGTCGTTCAAATAGGCAGTGATGTTCGCAAAGTTTTCAGAGAGGACACACAATGCTATCTTCGCTCAAATTAATATGCAGGTGACTTACACAAATTGTATTTCACCATAAATGCAAGACTAAGATTTTACTTATTCTAGGCTGCATAATTTCAGGTTTGTCAGCCTTTATAGCTTTATCCTCAAGAACAGAAGCTACCACCAAATAATAAATCAGACTTCATCTAGATATATAATATCTTTGCTTTATAAA